AAGCCAGGAGCCTCTTCCGGGTCTCCCACGCGGGTGCAGGGTCCCAAAGCTTTGGGCCGTCCTCAACTGCTTTCCCAGGCCACAGGCAGGGAGCTGGAAGGGAAGCGGGGCTGCCGGGATTAGAACCGGCGCCCACATGGGATCCCGGGCGTGCAAGGCGAGGACTTAACCACTTGCGCCACGGCGCCGGGCCCCCCTCATTTCACTTTAAACACCCTCTCTCCCTCTTGTACTCAGCCTGGCACTGGTTCCCTCTGTCCTCCTCATCAACTCTAACCAAAATCCTAATGAATCTGACCCTGCCACCTCCCTGAGGCCTCTCTCTGTAGAGCCCAGAACACTCTAGAATCCGTTTTCTGCTGGTACCTCTCCTGCATCCTGGTATCCAGTTGGGTCCCTTTCCACCAAATGCTATCTGCCGGAAGGTAGCCCTCCCTGGTGTTCCCCAGCATCACAGCTTCCCCCGAGGACTCTCTGCCATGGTGTCTGCAGCATGCGGCTGAGCACCTGAGACGTGTGGTCTCCTGCAGATGCCAGAACAAAGTTCCCAGGGGCTGGTGGCTTAAAGTCACCATCGTGTACCGTCTCATGGCTCATAAGTCCAAAATCTCGTTGCTCACAGGCTTGGTCCCTCCTGGAAGCTGTGGCTCACAAACCCTCCCAGGCTGCTCTCCCAGCTTCTGGGGCTCCCAGCGTCTTGCCATTCCTTAGCTTGCATTTGCATCTTCTGCTTTCCACTTCCCTTGGTGACTGTCTCTCTTTCTCATCTTCTACACTTGATCTTAGCCAAAAGACCGAAGAAGCAATTCTGTCTCTTCTTCTAAAAGTTTTTTTTTTGTTTGCTTATTTGAAAGACAGAGAGAGAAAGAGCCATCTTCTATTGATGCCCCAAATGCCCACACCTGCCCAGGGCTGGGCCATCGGATCTTGTCATAGAGATAATTCTCAGGTGCCACAAAATAGTCATCTTTCATGATTTTTCTCCCAACTGTTAGAAAGCTGTGATACTCATGTTTGACGCAAGCAGATAAGACACCACTAGGCAGGCCTGCATTCCGATTCAGAGTCCTCGCGTCTGACTTACAGCCCCTCTTGTGATTCAGCTTCCTGCTGAAACACACCCTGGCAGGCAGCGGTGAGGTCAAAGGAACTGGGTAGCTGCCGGTTGGAGCCTGGCCAGAGACAGGCATGCTGATGCAGGATGCACACTAATCCATGGCTTCGCCACTAGGTAAAGAACTGCCCTGATAACTGGGTGTTCTGATAACTCCCCAGGCGTCATGCTTGTCCTCAGAACAGACTGTTCTGATTAGCACAGCAATCCTACAGTCCTCGGCACACATGCCTGATCTCATCAACCGTGCCAGAAATCAAGGTTCTTGCCTCTCCCATTCCCCTTGCATGAGCTGCTATGACTCCCTGCACTAGAGGAGGAGGAAGAAACAGAGACCCTAGGAGAGACGGAGAGATGGAGACAGTGGCCACAGGGATGTAGCTCCAGGAGGAAGGCTGGGCATAGCAGGGAGGGGGAGGGAGTAGGAGAAGCAGAGTGCTTGGGTTGCCCACACCCAGCAGGGGAAGCACAGGGCCAGCATCTGTTGATGCTGTTGATTCCATCTGTTGATTCATTAGCCAAATGGCCACATGGCCACGGCCGCTGAGGCAGGCCCAGGCTGAAAGCCAGGAGAAAACTTGGAACTCCATCTGGGTCTCTCCCATGTGAGCAGGTGAGCTGGTGATCTGCTGGGACTTTAACTCAGCATTCTGAAGTGGCATGCTGGCATTACAAGCAGCTGGTTGACCTGCTAGACCACAGTGCCGGCCCCTGGGTGAAGCATGGAGACAGTCTGAGGATACCTTCACCTGGGAAAAACACAAGACTGGTGGCAGGAGGAACACTTAGGGAGGACAGTGGGGAGCAGACGGGAGGGAGCCCCAGGGGCTTAGGGACAGCAGGGTCTGAGACTGGCTTCCTGTAACAATACAGCGAATCTTTCCTGAGACTTAAGGAGGAAGGGGTGGAGGAGGAAGGGTGCTCTGGGCAGACACGGGCTGCAAGTGAGATGCCCCAGGGGAGGGACAGAGCAGGGTGGAGCTGCATGGGGATGGGCAGGAAGCTCCTGGGACTCTGGAGACTGAAGTTCATGATAATGAGCTGGGGGTAGGGCTGTAGTTCTCCAGGCTGGCAGGAAGCAGTTGGGGTCTCTGGGAGCTGCCTTTCTCCAAGGAAAAGGGGCGGGGTGAGTTTCTGCTCTCTCCAGGGACACGTTTCCTACATCATAGGATACTCACTGTGCATCAAGAGGGGTCTCTGCCAGAGGCTCCAACACCCCCTTCCCCTGTCCACTGAGGGAGCCAAAGGTCAAAAGCCACCTTCTGGGCCCAGCAGCACAGCCTAGCGGCTAAAGTCCTCGCCTTGAACCTGCCGGGATCCCATATGGGCGCCGGTTCTAATCCCGGAAGCTCCACTTTCCATCCAGCTCCCTGCTTGTGGTCCAGGAAGGCAGTTGAGGACGGCCCAAAGCCTTGGGACCCTGCGCTTGTGTGGGAGACCTGGAGGATGTTCCTGGCTCGTGGCTTTGGATCAGCGCAGCACTGATCATTGCGGTCACTTGGGGAGTGAATCACCAGACAGAAGATCTTCCCTCTGTCTCTCCTCCTCTCTATATCTGACTTTGCAATAAAAGCAAAATCTTTTACAAAAAAAAAAAAAAAATGACTTTGGTAGGGTGAGTATTGCAAGCATTGCAGGTAAAGTTACTGCTTGGGATGTCCGCATCCCATATCAGAGTGCAGGTTCGAGTCCCAGTCATTCAACACCTCTGATGCAGCTCCCTGCACATGTGCCTGAGAGACTGCCTATGTGCTTGGCCCATGCCAAGCTCTTGGCTTCAGCTGCTGTGGGCATTTGGGGTGTGACTCAGTGGAGGAAAGAGCGCTCCTCTATTTTTTTTTTCTGTCACTCCACCTTTCAAATTAAAAAAAAAAAATCTTTAGAGAACAAGTGAGAGTCCTTGGGCTGGTCACTTAACCTCTTACCCACACAGTGGGAGGGGCTCATCACACCTCTGCATAGGGTGTTACGAAGATTAAGTGAACTCATAGTTTTATGGATGTTTCATTTCACAGTGATTGGTACAAAGTGTATGTGCATGTTTAAAGCAAAGTTAAAAATTTAGAAGACACAGCGTGAGCCCCCACCCGCAGCTCTGCTCAGCACGGCTCCGGGTGGCAGCCTGCAGGTCAAAGCCTGGACACTACTTCCCGTGGGAGCCGGCCAGGTGCACGGCATTCCAGAGCACCTTGTGGGGCACCTGTTGAGTTGCCCCAGGGAGTTTTCCCTGTGATTTGGGCCATTTCCTCTTGGGAGCCAATCATTAACCTTCCCAAGGGCTCTCTCTGTAGAAGCATTGGGGACAAGTGGCAGGCGGAGGTTAGAGGCGCTGGGACAGTCTCCCAGTGGCTGGAATGCTTAGCTTCCCCAGGAGATTGGGACCCCATCACTGTCCTGCCTGGGGTCCCCTGCAGGAGGGGCAGGTGGGGTGGTGGGAGCTTCCTGTGTCTACCCTTTCCTGCAGACTTGCACCTGCTGCACGGGTTGGGTGCTAGAGACCCAGGAGTGGGCACCTGCTGCACGGGTTGGGTGCTAGAGACCCAGGAGTGGGCAGAGCTCCCCGATAGGAGCTGAGTGGGGTGTTCTGTTTTTTAACGTTTGAAAGGTAGGGCCTGGCACAGTAGCCTAGTGAGTAAAGTCCTTGCCTTGCATGTGCCTGGATCCCATATGGGTGCTGGTTCTAGTTCCAGTGGCGCCACTTCCCATCCAGCTCCCTGCTTGTGGCCTGGGAAAGCAGTCGAGGATGACCAGAGCCTTGGGACCCTGCACCTGCATGGGAGACCTGGAAGAAACTCCCGGCTCCTAGCTTCAGATAAGCTCAGCTCCAGCCTTTGTAACCACTTGGGGAACCAGCAGACGGATCTTCCTCTGTCTCTTGTTTCTGTATATCTGATAAAAAAAATCTTAAAATAATTTTGAAAGACAGAATTATATATATAGAGAGAAGACAGAATTTCCACTCACTGGTTTACTCCCCAAACAGCCACAAGAGCTAGCCATGGACCAGACCAAAGCCAGGAGCTAGGAGCTTCATCTGGGTCTCCCATGTAGGCACAGGGGCCCAGGCACTTAGCTCATCTTCCACTGCTTTCACAGGCACACTAGCAGGGAGCTAGATTGGAAGTTCAGCAGCCGGGACTCAAACCAGCACCTTTATGGAATTCCAGTGCTGGAGCCGGTGGCTTAATCTGCTATACCATGGTGCCAGCCTCAGAGTGGAGTGGTTTGATGGCACTGAGGGTAGCTTTCAGAAGCCTGAGGGGGCAGAGGTGGTTCAAGGTTTACCCACCCAGGACAATAATATTTATAGCTTTGCAAGTTCTGGGCAGTGGGGTCAGCGGCCTTAGCCTGGTATTTTGGGTCCAGGATCAGCTCTGCATTGCCAAGCTATTGACTGATAATGAGCACTGCATCCCACTCCACTGGGTGCCACCTCGCAGTCTGGCTGCCCTAAGTGAGGGGAAGCTGGTAAGAAGCCACCAGGCCCAAGCCTTGCCTGCTTTCGAGTGACAAAGTCTTTGGGGACCAAAGAACCTGGAGAACTCTGGCCAGGGACTTCTGCTGGGGTGAGTAGAAGCGGTTTGGGTAACACAGTGGGACTGCGTTCTGGGGTTGGGAATCTAATCTTAAAGGTCACAGGACCCTTGGACAGGCTGCACGAGCATAGCACCTGCGGCCACGGCTGGAAGCCCAGGTCCGGCGGTCATCCTAGGAGAATTGCTTCCATCATCAAAACCTTCGAGGTTAGTGCCAAGGCAGGGGACCACTTGTGTGCAATTCCTGGGACCTGCCCCCTCCCCCCTGGCAGGTGCTGCAGGCAGAGTACCTTCTACTTGAGGTATGGGGGCATTCCCCTCCTCCAGCATGCCCTGCCAAGCCACATCAGTAGAATAATGCTTTATTGGCAGCTGGCCTGGGTTGGCTCGGTTGGCGGTAGCTCTGAGTACTGCTGCAGAGTGACAGAGGCGCCCCTGCTGACCATGACCGCTGGGTAGAGCGGCTCGAGGAAGGTGGCGAGGAAGCGGTAGATGAGGCTCACGTCATCGGCCACGCTGTAGAAGGAGAGGCAGCCGGCGGTGCAGTCAAGCACCACGCCGAGCGTGTGCTGGTAGGCGCCCTGCAGCACGATCTCGGTGTTGTTGTGCCACACAGAAAACTGGAGCGAGTCCCACTGCAGGCACCATGAGTAGGCGTTGCGGCCCAGCAGGTAGACTGTGTGGTGGGGCGGGAGGCCGCCGGGCTGGGGGCTGCGGCGGTAGGTGACGCCCAGGCACACCCACGAGTTGGACACCTTGGCCTCCCAGTAGTGGCAGCCTTTGGACAGGCTGCGCGAGCATAGCACCTGCGGCCACGGCTGGAAGCCCAGGTCAGCAGTGGCCGACGGCTCCAGCAGCACGCTCAGGTTCAGCACCGAGTGGGTCTCCTTGAAGAAGTACAGCTCCTTGGTGGCCGTGGCGGGGTCGAAGTTCAGGTTGCAGTAATCTTGGGGAGGGAGGGGTCAGGGGAAGAGAGTGAGTGCTAAGCGACATGGTTGTCGTGTACATGTGTCACAGGATGATGCGTCTAGTCCAAGCTCCTAGGGGTGGCCTGTCCACCTTGGCCATACAACCTCCCCCTTCTGCTCTGGGCATTGCAACAGAGGCTGGAGGGGTGAACTGGGTGCTATCCAGACCATGTCCAGGGAGACATGGTGGGGGGCAGGAGTTCGTCTCCCCCAGACCCTGACATAACCTTCCCTTTGTACTTGTTGGGGACACAGGGTGATCGGGGCTGAGAGACAGCCCAGCGCTCCTGTAGGAGGCCACTCAGAGGTGGACACGAACTTGACCCCTGCCTGAAAGCTTAGAACTAGCCAGTGCGGTTTTGCCCCTGGTCTGGCGGGAAGCAGCACAGCAGGGACCTGCATGGCATGGCCAGTCGCTCCTTTGTGTCTGAGGGAGGGGAGCATGGAACCACTCAGGCCAGCTTGGTCAAAGTCTGATGGGGGCGCTGGCAGGTGTCTAGTGGAGGGCAGAGGTTGAGCCACACAGGGCCTGGGAGTGCTGCAGAATGAGCCCTAGGCCAGAGGCATGTCTTCTGTTCTTATCAGCGGGCTATCTGAGGCCCCTGGTCCACAATGAGAGAGGTTGGGGCGAGACCATCCTCTGGGCTGGTACCATCCTCTGCCCACCAGCCCCAGGGCAGGTGACAGGGCCTGAATACAGGCAGGGCTTGAGAAACAGGCACGAGGACCCCAGTACTCCCCACCCCCATCAGGAAGACCCCAAGGCTGTTCACTCACACTGGAGAAGCGTCTTTCTGTCCACGGCTGGGGGCAGCACCTCATAGGAGTTCATCTTGATGCCTGGGGAGGGAACACTTGGCTGAGGAGCCTTCTGAGAGAGATCTGGGCCTGCAGGTTGGGGTCTATGGCAGGCATGCAGGCAGCCCCTGGCAGGGTAGGCATCCCTCCCCCAGGAATACAGCCAGGACTGACCCTTCTGGGGGAGCTGCGCCATGAAGCCGTGAGCCACATCCGTGAGCCACGTCTGCAGCTCGGCCATGGACTCTGGCAGCTGGAAGAAGCTCTGTGTGTCCTCACAGTTGGTGCCCATCAGGGGCTCCCTGCAGGACGGGAACTGCTGCAGCCTTTCGATCTCCTGGTAAGGCAGGGAGCGGCCAGTGGCACCATCATCAGCCGGGACCCAGGCGGAAGGTGGAGGCTCCTGCTTATGCCAGGGGCTCCCACTGGTCCAGAGAACCACGGCAGGTGGGACAAAAGGTGCCTTCCTGATGCCGGACGCCTCTCCCCCCGTCCTCCTGAGTGTTTGGCTCGGTCAGATTGAGGGAGGGGAAGAGAGCTGACCAGAGGCGGGGTCATCATGGCTAAGTGTACTGAGCAAAGAGGGTCTTTAGAAAATCAGGGGAGGATTTCAGAAAATCTGCCAAGCCTCTCACTGTTTTGTGAAGACCACTGCCCAATGCTTTCTGTTAAGTTTGGGGAAGCAAAGCGAGTAGCAACCATTCTACTTTGCAACAAGAGAGGAGCTGCGGGGCTGGCTGGGGCTGGGCATGGGGAAGGGATCTCAGGCCAGGATCTACAGATGACCCTCTGCTCCCTTCCAGCTCTGGTCTGGCCACGTCTGGAAAGACTTGAAACAGTGGGTGCCCTACGGCACACCCCACTCCCTCCTGGGGTTCCAGGAACTGAAGGCAGGAGAGTTAGGCTCAGGTTGAGACAGAGGGCTGGACAGTGTAAAGCAGCCCCTAATACGGTGGTGTTGACTGCTTTATCCGAGGTTTGGGCAGATCTGGGCATCTGTGGGCGGAGGGGTGGAATCTGGCTGGCCCGGGGCCCAGTTGGGGAGGGCGGGGTCTGGGTATGGTGTGGGTGGGGCAGGGGCGGGCCTCGCCTGCAGGAACTGCTCGTCACTGCAGTTGGTAAGCAGGGTGTGTAGCCAGATACTGTCGCCCTCCAGTTTCAGCAGCCGGCTGTCGCTCTGCTGGAGGGAGCTTGTCAGCTTGTCCAGAGTGACTGCCTCCTCTTTCTTGATGAAATCCAGAAGTTTGGCCTGCAGCTGTTGGGCCTCGTGGATGATCCCCGAGAAGCAGGCATTCACCTCATCTCGTATTTTCTGGATTCTCTTCTGGAGGGGGCAGGAAATGGCTTAGAAGGGCATCTCTGAGATGTGCGGCAGTGCCCGCATTGCCTCTGGACCGCCTGGCCTTCCACCAAGCTACCCTTCTCCACCTCCTATTGGTCCTCTAGGGCTGCTGCAGGTTCCCTAGGGCAGTGTGGGCCCCGCTTACCGACAGAAAGGCCAGCTGCCCCCGGTGCTTCTGCCTGTTGGCCGTGATGATCAGCATCTGGTTTTCCACATTGGCTTGGACCTTCCGGACTTGAACCTGGAGTGGGGTGGGTGGGGAGCAGCCCTCGGATCAGAGGGCTTGGAGACATCTGCAGACACCTTCTGCGTGCAGTGTTTGGCTCCAGTGAGAATGAGAACGGCAGAGCCGGAGGCTGGGTGGCCCAGGCCAGCCCATCCCTAGTAACCAGGTTCTTTGCTTCTAGCAATGATGCCTCCCTGGGGCAGCACTGTCAGGCCCAAGTCTTTCTATTAAACCTCTTGTCTCCATTCCTGCTAGCAAAGACCATCTGCCTTTCTTTTAGCTTTTCTTCATTTGAAAGACAGGGTGATCGAGCAAAGTTACAGGGAGAGAGAAATCTGGCTGTGGGCCAGGCCAAAGCTAGGAGCCAGGAGCCAGGAATTCTGTCCAGGTATCCAACGTGGGTGGCAGGGGCCAAGTGCTGGCGTTACTGTCCACTGCGTCTCCAAGGCACATCAGCAGTGAGTTGGGTCAGAAAAAGAGTAGCCGAGACTCCAACCAGGCCCCTGGTGGCGGTTGGACGTCTTGAGTGGCAGCTTAAACCCCTGTACCATGACGCCAGCAATGGCATTTTCGTAACTAATTTATGGGACATGCTGTTCCAAGCACCCGGCCTTGAACTACTGCTGGTCTATAACAGTGTAAGAAGTCACACCAGACTATAAAATAAGGACACAGGTGTAACTGTGGGCTGTGATTGTGTGGGTTTGGTTCCAGACCACCACAGTAAAATGAGGGTCATGATAAAGTGAGGCATATGAATTATTTTTGGTACTCTGGCCATATAAAAACTAGATTCATACCATATAAAAGCCTACTAAGTGTACAATAGCACTGAATTGGAAAAAATGTATACATTGACTTTTAAAATATTTTTCTTTTTTTAAAGATTTATCTATTTTTGGATCTGGCACGGTAGCCTAGTGGCTAAAGTCCTCGCCTTGCATGTACCAGGATTCTGTATGGGCACTGGTTCATATCCAGGTTGCTCCACTTCCCATCCAGCTCCCTGCTTGTGGCCTGGGAAAGCAGTCGAGGATAGCCCAAAGCCTTGGACCCTGCACCAGCATGGGAGATCTGAAGGAGGCTCCTGGCTCCTGCCTTCAGATCGGCTCAGCTCTGGCTGTTGCAGCCACTTGGGGAGTGAAGCAGTGGATGGAAGATCTGATTTTCCAATTAAAAATGAAAAAATAAATCTTTTAAAATTATGAATTATTTATTTTTATTGGAAAGACAGATCAGATTCACAGAGAAGAAGAAGCAGAAAGATCCTCCATTTGCCAGTTTACTCCCTAAATGGCTGCAATGGCCGAAGCTAAGCTGATCTGAGGCCAAGAGCCAGGAGCCTCCTCCAGGTCTCCCGTACAGATACAGAAACCCAAGGCTTTGGGCCATCCTCTGCTGCTCTCCCAGGCCACAAGCAGGGAGCTGGATGGGAAGTGGAGCAGCTGGGTCATGAACCTGTGCCCACATGGGATCCTGGTACTTGCAAGGCAAGGATTTAGCCAATAAGATGGTGTGCCAGGTCCCAAAAATATGGTATATTTTTGGATGCTAACCACTACCTGAATTGTTGGAAAAATGATATCAATAGCTTTTCTTAATGCAGGGACTCACAAACCTTCCATTTGCAAAAAACTACAGTCTTCAGGAGCTGCAGTAAAATGAGATATGCCTGCAGTGGACCTGTGATGCAGCGGGCCAAGTCTTGCTTGTGGGTCCGACAGCCCGCATCAGAGGGCTGGGCTGAGCCCCGGCTGCTCTGTTTCAGATCCAGTTTCCTGCTGATGCACCTGCGAAGGCAGCAGATGGCGGCCCAGGTGCTCGGGCCTCCTGCTACCCACACAGAGATGCAGATAAAGCTCAGGGCTCCTGGCTTCAGCCTGGTCCTGCTCTGGAGGTTGTGGCCATTTGAGGAATGCACCAGGAGATGGAAGATTCTCTCTCTGTTGCCCTACCTTTCAAATAAAGAAATCTTTCAAAATGAAGTATGCCTGTAGTGTTACCTTGTTGAGAAACTCTTACATTGAACAAAGCATCAGCCAAACTAAATGGAACTCAGTGATGAACTGACTGATATTGCGTCCCAAGCTCCTTGCTTTGCCATGATTGGCTGCCCGTGGCTGTTGGGTCAGCTCTGCTATAGCTACACCAGGAACAACAGCTGGAGTGGAAACTCTAAAAAGCCACACTGGGTGGGTATTCCGTGCAGTGGTCAAGCTGGTGCGGGGGCCGCTGCCCATGCCAGAGGACCCAGATCCAAGTGCTGGCTCTACTTCCACTCCTGCTCCCAGCGCCCTGCTCACGGGGCACAGCTGGAAGCAAAGGGTGAAGGCTTGAATACTCTGACCCCCCCTACCCCACCCACAGGGGAGATCCTGGCTCCTGGTCACAAACTGACTCGGCACTGGCTCAACTAGAGGATGGGAAATCTCTGTGTCCCTCTGCCTTTCAAATAAAATGCGAAAACAAATTTAAAGGCACTATTAAAAACCGTACGAATATAGAAGCATTAAAATTTGAAAATAGCAGTGGGAGGATCCACTCGCCCTGTGGTGGTGTGTGTGTGTGTGTGTGTGTGTGTCTGGACCTTGGTCCTCTCTGCCCGCCGGCGCACACTCGCTCGGGTGCCCACTCACCTCCAGGCGGGCGCGCTCCTTCTCCAGCGGCACGGTGCTGTGGTCCTTGTGCGCCTCCAGGCGGCAGGCCCTGCACACGCAGCAGCCCTCCGTGCGGCAGTAGAGCCGCCGCAGTTTGTGGTGCTTCTGGCACAGGCGGGCCTTGAGGTCCCACAGGGGCTCCACCAACTGGTGGTCCTCTGCGTGGCCGTGCAGGTGCCTCTCGCACATGGAGGCCATGCACTGCAGACACGACTTGACTGACTTGAGCTTCTGGGACGGACAGAGGTCGCAGGGCACCTCCCTGGGCCCCACCGCAGCCGCGGGATTCCCCAGGGACTCCTTGGCCTGGGTGAAGCAGGCCACCATCTCCCCCAGGATGACGTTCTTGCAGAGGCGGGGCCTGGACGGGAAGCTCTCCCGGCACTGGGGGCAGTAGTGGTCGGGCCCTGCCGTGGCCTGGTAGTCCCAGCAGTTTTGCAGACAGCTCATGCAGAAGCTGTGGCCGCAGACAGTGGTCACCGGGTTTTGGAACACCTCCAGGCAAATGGGACAGAGGACTTTGTCCTCAAAGGTGCAGGGTTTGCTCGTGGTACTCATTGGGAACTGGCTTTGGGGGAAGGCTTGCGGGCTGGGACTTGTCCTGGGCTGGCCATGGGAAGACAGAGCAAAAGCAAGGCAGAAGTTAAAGGGCCGGTGTGGAGGTGCGCTATCTGCCCTAAGGTACAAGGACTGAGTACAGTTGACTAAGTTGCTGGGGTGGGGAACGTGCTCTGGGGATTAATTCTGGATGAGAGTATGTGGGGAGGGCGGAAGGAAGCGATGTCAGGACAAAGGAAGACCAATACTCACGCAACTCTGTGTTGGGGTGGACCAGACACTCGCCTGCCTGGTCCTGACAAGGAGGGGGCTCCGAAACCCTGTGCTAGCCCCTGCTCACAGGTACCAGGGGGCCCCCCCGATCAGTCCATTGAGCACCCACTTCAAGTGCTTCGTATCTCTTGGGGTCTGCTGCCCCACTGCTCGCGTTGCCTCTGGCTGCTGTGGCAGTCTCCCTGGCAGGGAGGCGGAAGACCACTCCCATCTTTGCTTCCCAATGTCATAATTCCAGTGTGACCAGCTCCTGATTGTGATGTCATCAGGGCATAAGGGGGTGCTGCTGCAGGTCCCAGACACCTGCAGAGACCCAGGCTGAGGCCGACCCAGGCTGAGGCCGACCCAGGCTGAGGCCGACAGTTGGGAACTTCACCCTGGGTCCCTTCTGGGGATTGGCAGGAACCCAGCCCTAGCAGGAAAGTGGAACCTGGAGCAGAATCAGGAGCCAAACGCAGGAATTCCTACCCAGGACACAGATGCCTTCACCACTTCACCCAGAAGCCACCCCTGGGGGTGGGCAGCTTTCCAGGAGGTCATGCTGATGAACCATAGTTGGTTTTGGTGTTTTATTATTTTTATCATTCAATCTGCTAACATTAGGAATCTTGCATAAAAAATGGGGTGGACATACAATTTTCCTTTTTTAAAAAAAATTATTTAATTTGAAAGGCAGAGTTACAACAGACAGAGACAGAGATCTTCCAGCCACTGGTTCACTTCTCAGATGCCACACTGACTGGGACTATGCTGATCTGAAGCCAAAAGCCAGGAGCAAGGGGCTGCTTCTGGGTCTTCCACATGGACACCAGGTCCTACGGACTTCTACTGCCTTCCCAGGCCAAAAGCAGGGAGCTGGATGAGAAATGGAACAGCTGGGACTTGAGCTGATGCCCACATGGGATGCCAGCACCTTGGGTGGAGGACCAGCCTGCTATATACCACTGTACCAGCCCCTGTAGTTTTTGGTTCATGTGATGTCCTTGTGCCCTTGTCAAATGTAGGCAGTAAGTGATGCTGGCCTCATCAAGTTGTGAGGCCTTTGTTTCCTACTGTGGACTTGGACGAACGAGAATGATATTACATTTCCCTTAAATGCTGAACTCGGGGGTAAAGCGATCTAGGCCCATAGTGGGTTGCTTTGTTTTGCTTTTGGTGGGAAAAAAAGAATTATTAATCTGGTGCCCATATGTGATGCCAGTGCTGCAAGGTGCAGAATTAACACTGCCTTCCCCCCACGATTTTAATGTGTCATAAAATGTGCCACCTTGGGGCTGGCTCCATGGCTCAACTGGCTAATCCTTTGCCTGCAGGCACTGGCATCACATATAGGTGCTGGTTCTGGTCCCGGCTGTTCCATATCCCATTCATCTCCCTGCTTATGGCCTGAGAAAGAAGCAGAGGATAGCCTGATATGACTTCGATAGTTTTGAAATACTGTCGATCTCACTGATCCAAGGATGAGGTCATCTTTCCAAGGTCCGTTGGCTGACATGATCCACCCCAGTCTCCATTTGCCCAGAAATGTGCTGTCAAGCTTAGCTGGAGTAGTTGATCAATTTGTTCTGCACTCCTTCCTCAGTTATGGTACCAGATATGGTACCTCTGCAGGCTCCAGTGGACTGCCAAATCCATGTGCATCTGGGTATGTGGTCCAGTGCTCCATCAAAGCCACTGAGAGACCCAGCTCTGACACATGCACTGTCAGACCACAGGTCCTGCCACTATCCCCATAGTTGGAGTTCTGAGTCCAGTGGTTTAGTTGGGGGGACTCTCAAAGAATCTCGTCTGAGGTGATCCCAGACCTGACTTTTGTGTGTGCCTGCCTGTACAGGGTCTGGCTCAGCCTGTCACCCACATCAGCCTATATACAACCTAGTATTTGCAATTGTTAGGTCAGATCTCTCTCCAGCCCCATCTCTTATGCAAACCAATGGATGCTGCGGCTCAGCCCAGCCCTGCTCTCCACACACTCAGCCCTCACGTACAGCATGGGGAGCTGGAGCCTCATTAGAGCAACAACCAGTATCCCCCACTATCCAGCCTCCTGTCCTGGTTCCTGTGCCTGCCAGCATGTGCAGTGGACTGATGAGGTTTGTCCCACACCCCATTCAGCAATTATATACATCATTGGGCATTGAGCCTAACTCAATCCAATTACCTCTACCCTCCGACCCACACTCACGCCAACTGGTGCCATCACCTGTCCAGCTAGGCCCACCCCCAGTCCTGTTTTTCAAGTTCACCAGTGGGAGTTGCAGCCCATCAGAAAGGTGTCCACAGTTTCCCTAATGGACCCACTTCCCGCCCCACATCTTGCACTCTCTAGGTGGTTCTGCAGTCTAGCTCGACAGGACTTGCCCCAGTCCTGGCACTTAAGTGGCTGATGCTGTGGGGAAGCCTAACCAGCCTGCCTTATTCTGGTTCATGCCTGCACCAATAGATACCATTGATTAGTCCAGCCTGGTTCTCCCCCTAACCCATTTCCCATGGAGGCCGACAGATGTTGTAGCCCTTCCTGGCCTGGTCTTCCCCCGCTTCCAGCTCATGCTCACCAGCACAAGCAGTGGCCCAGCAGAGGAGTGCCTATAGCTCCCCTACTGGACTCGTACCCTGCCCCCACACCCCTTATCCTTATCTCTCTGTTGTAATGCTGCCTTTCAAATAAAAACAAAATGAATCTTAAAAAAAAAAAAGTAAGCTGAGCGTAGTAGCCTAGTGGCTAAAGTCCTTGCCTTGCATGCGCTGGGATCCCATATGGGTGCCAGTTCTAACGCTAGTGCCCCTATTTCCCATCCAGCTCCCTGCTTGTGGGCTGGGAAAGCAGTCGAGGATGGCCTAAAGCCTTGGGAACCTGCACCCAAGTGGGAGACCCAGAAGAAGCTCTTGGCTCCTGGCTTTGGATTGACTCATCTCTGGCCATTGAGGCCGTTTGGGGAATGAATCACTGGACAGAAGATCTTCTTCTCTGTCTCTCCTTGTCTCTGTATATCTGACTTTGCAATAAAAATAAGTCTTTAAAAAAAGTGCTACTTCTGAAGTGATTGGGCCCCTACACTCACAAATGGGACACAAAGGAAGCTCTCAGCTTCAACTGGCTTAGCCTTGGCTGCTGTAGTCCTTTGGAAAGTGAAGTAGGGGGAAGAAAGATCTATCTCTCTCTGTAATTTTGTCTTTCGGATAAATAAATAAATCTTTATAGCTCTAAAAAAACCTGAACTGCTCTCTGTCATGCGGGTCACAGAAGTAACAAGTGGCACAGCAGGCCAAGTTGTTGCTTCTGCTGCGGGCCTCCTCTAGCAGAGCCTTGGTACCAGTCCAACTGCACCTCGAAAGACAGAGGGTAAGGCTCAAGTCCTCGGGTGCCCGTGCTGCCATGGGAGCCTTGCACGGAGTGCCGGGATCCTGGCTTTAGCCTGGCCCAGCACTGGCTGTTGGAATCATTTGGAGAGTGAAACAGTGGATGAAAGATCTCTGTCACTATGCATTTCAAATAAATCTTAAAAATAAAAAAGTGACTCATTGACAAATCACTGTTGGTGTTTTGATCTTAGACACATCCATTCTCTCTAAACCAGACTCCAGAGCTACTACTAAAAAATATATTTCGTTGTCTAAGTCACCCAGTTTATGGTATTCCTATTATAGGAGTGTGAATGGGCTAAAACCCCAACTTCTGCATCACTCCTAACAGATTTGGAATCATTAAGCAGTATATTCCCCACCCCCACCACTAAAAATCTTTTATTTATTTATTTATTTTTTGGTCTCTGTACATTTGCCTGTTGTGAATATTCCAGAAGAATGGAATAGTACAGGGCTCGGCGCCGTGGCCTGGAGGCCAAAGTCCTCGCCTTGCATGCGCCAGGATCCCATATGGGCACCGGTTCTAATCCCAGTGGACCCGCTTCCAATCCAACCCACTGCTTGTGGCCTGGGAAAGCAGTCGAGGACAGCCCAGAGCCTTGTACCCTGCACCCGTGTGGAAGACTCAGAAAAGGCTCCTGGCTCTTGGATTGGCACAGCTCCAGCTGCTGCGGTCACTTGGGGAGTGAATCAATGGGCGGAACATTTTTCTGTCTCCTCTCTTCTCTGTATATCTGACTTTCCAATAAAAATAATTTTTTTAAAGAATGGAATAGTACAATAGTTGAGCTTTTGTGTATGGCTTATCATGTTAAGGCAACCATTCACCCATTTTGTTGCATGGGCAGGATTTCATTCGGCTAAGGCCACTGGAAGGGTATCCCACACCTTCCTTCCCATTTATCTTGACGGGACTTAAATGAACACTTTGGCTTCAACTTCTGTGCATGTGTGGAAATGCTCATACAGTGGTAGGCACAAAGGGAGCTGTGGCCTCAACCCTGAACTTCAGCCATGATGCTTGTCTCCTGCTGTGGTAGCTGGAGAGGCCTCACCACCACATCTACCTTATTCCCCCAGCTCCCTGAGAGCTGTGTGGCCAGGGGCAGCCCCCCTAACTCTGCATTGCAGAACAGGGCAGAAATACCTCACTGGGCTGTGGAGAAGAGGAAGCAGCGCAGGTGGCCATGAGGGGTTAGGAGGGCAGGAGTGGGAAGGCCTGGCTGCCTCCATCCCGAGCCCACAGCCACGGGGTCACCACTCAGTCACCCTCGGGATCCAGTCTTGTCCACTCTCTTCCAGACCGTATCAGTGCCGGCCGGCCCACTCAACCTGGCAGGAACTGAACTCACAATCTCGCCTCAAGCTGGCTGCACCTTTTTCCAAGCCCACACCTGCCCATGAACTCATGTGACTCTACCCTTCTCTAAATCCTAGAGTCAGCTCTTCAGCGTCAGAGGGGATGGGTCAGGCTCTGTCATTGTCCCTCCCCCTTCAACTGGGCCTGGGCTCTGCAGCCAAACCCTCTCCCTTGCCTGCAGCACCCTCCCCTTCTTCTGCAGGCTTCTGGGATTCGGCTATAGGTCTCCAGGGCCCTGGCCATCTGGGCATGTGTTGGTTGGGCAGCCCATGGCAGCAAGCGCACCTGTGCTTCCAGAGTGCTGGATGGCAGCCATGCTGGGAGGCCCACACCTGTGGCTCAAGTCCTCCTCCACCTCACGGTCTAGTTCAAGAGCTCCGTGGCACCTTTCAATGGCTTGGTTTTCAATCTGTGCTTGTTGGCTACATTGTAACTGAGCAGAACAGGGTGTGCTTGGAGCAGTTTTACCAGCAGTGGAGACTGCACAGTGTGTGAAGCTATTGGGGCGAAATATGAGTAGAAGTGACAGCCCAGCCTTGGAAAAGAGCACCCCAAGAGCATGCAAGGGAGCGTGCACTTCCTAGTGAGAAAGCTTACTAACACAAATGGTCATCTTCTGTCTCATGAACCGTTAACATCAGACTTAAGGCTGCAGCCTCTGATTTGTAAAATATAACACACAGAAGAGATATTAGTTATCAAAGAAAGTGTAGTGTTGGCTTAACTGAATTAAATTTCCACTGTCCATTATCTTGGAAAAAGAATGATCTTCAGATTTTCATGTTAAAAGAGAAATGGAAGGCCTGACACATGGCCTAGTACATGCAGGGATCCCATGTGGGCACTGGTTCTAATAACCCCCACTGCTTCACTTCCCATCCAGCTCCCTGCCTGTGGCCTGGGAAAGCAGTGGAGGATGGCCCAGAGCCTTGGGACCCTGCACCCGTGTGAGAGACCTGGAAGAAGCTCCTGCAGAGCTCCTGGTTTCAGATTGGCTCAGCTCCGACTGTTGCAGCCACTTAGGAAATGAACCAGTGGATGGAAGATCTTTTTCTCTGTACCTCCTTCTCTCTGTATACCATCCTTTCCAATCAAAATAATAAATAAGCCTTCTTTAAAAAAACGGAAATAGAAAAGTTGGATGCAATTTCATTGTACTGTATAGAACAATCGATTGAAGAATTAGAAACTGGCCTAATGGAGAGTTTACCCCAGGAGAAAGCTTTAGGGGTGCAAACTTTTGGGCCACCCTGTCCTTGTCAGAACTTGAGCCCTGCACTGCCCTTGGTTTCTGCAATCGAGCCCATTCTGTACCACCCAGATGACTCAGAGCAAACAATGAGGTTGCAGCTGAACTTGCAGCAGGTTCCCCCTGGACACTGGTCACACAGGACTCGGGGTCTGGGGTAGACCTGTGCTCTCTCTCAGGCAACTATCCTCCCACAGCTCTTGCGCCCTGGGAGAGACGGAACCCCACCTTCAGACTGCTGAGGGCCCGAGTGGCCTGAGCCAACCCCCAGCTGACTGAGCAGTGCCTGGCACAGCCCCACGACGGGCGCAGGTGCACTGTTCTGGCACTTTGTCATGTTGGCCAGCAGACTGTCTTTGTGTCAAGGTCCGTACTCTGTGGTGGCATGGGTGTTTCCGTCTTCTGCAAGTTCAAGTGTGTGTAGGATCGAGCCTGACTGAAGGGGCAGAGACACGGAGACACCACCCTGGACGGTCCTCTCCCAGGCCCTCCTGCACTGCTGCGGAGCGAGGCTACAGCCACGGCTCCTTCCTGTCACAGCTGCACTGTGGTGCCTGCTCCCAGGAGTGGCTGTGTCATTCACTGTGGTTCTGCCCTCCTACAGGTGGCCTCATTGAGCCCCCCACCAAGGCATCAGCATCCCCCTCCCAGAGGGCTTTGCTGCAAAGCATTGGTTTCAATAACCGCAGCCTCGTCCCAGCATCCCCTTCGCCCTTGTTTTTCCCACTGCTGCCAGCACCTGCTGAGGCCTGTCTCCCATTGGCCCAGCTGCCACACAGGCAATCACTTCTCTCATCTACATGCCTACATCCTGTCCTTGGATATGTGCCCAGCAGAAGGGCGCTATCTCATGCCATGGGAGGCCCCTGCCCCAGGTCCAATGTGGAAGTGACCTGCCCTGGCTTGGTGTTCACTTGTGTTCTTGCAGAGGAAACGTCCAGTTGGCCACTTACGCCCTGCTGGGAAGGCTCCCTCCCCTTAGAAACCACCTCCCACTCCTCGTCTCCTGCCAGCTCTCTGGTGGGCCGTCCATCTGGCCCTACCTTCTGTTCTTCCCCATCTCCCAGTCTTGTCAGATCCAGTAAAGTGGAAGCCCAATCAGTACTCCTTCCACCGCCCACTGCACATGGTCAGTCCTGCAGCTGGAGACGTCCCTCCTCTCCCTACACCAGGGGGAGTGGCAGGGTTGGCTGCCGGGCAGCTGGTGGCAAGGCCACCCACGCAGTACGGTCTCCATGGCAGAGGCTGCATTGCATTGTTATTGGCAAGAGGTCACAGCACTTGAGACTTTGTCCAGACACACACGGAAAGGGCAACCCTGCCTGATGGTCCCAGCCTCCTACCCTGTCACCCCACAGAAGGGCCGAGCTCCTGCCATCACTCAGCGATACCCCAGATTCTGAGGAGTCAGGGACATTGGGACTTCAGGCCTCCGGTAGAAAGACAGAGACAGCCCTGGCTTGACAGTACTGGGTAGCAGAAAGCCTGAGCTCCCAGTCCGCAGCGCCTGAGCTAGCAGACAGGCCTGGCCCTGCTGTCCTTAGCCTGTCCCTTACTGGCAGCTTGGAGGATAGGGTTGGAGCATCAACCACCTTCCTCCCACAGGAGGGAGCCGTGGTCACCAGCGGTCCTCTGAGAGCTCCCAAACACAAGACAGGGCTAAGCAGTGGCCTGGGTGATAAAGCTGGACCAGAGAAGCTCTGTCCAGCCCTGGCCTACCCAGAGGACACCTCCCTGGCATGACCGAGCATGAGGCCCTTCTGCTCCTGTCTCAGCTGGGCACCACTGCCTCTGAGCCCAAATTTGGTCCCATTTGGAGCTTGGGAAGCGCCTTCTCCTGAATACAACCACATCTTTTCCCTCACTCAGTTTCATGGCAGCACGAACACGTGGGACCCTTTGCCCTCAAGGCAGGTGGAAGTTCACCTGATATCTTGCAGCTGTGGGGACACAGGACATGCCCAGGCCTGAGGCGTCCACCTGAGTATTTACACTGGCTTGTGGACACATGTGCACTGTGGAAACACCTACCTGGATGCTCCCTTGCTGCTCCAGCAGGAGACAGCCATCAGGAAACAAGGCGAAGCTTAGAGAAAAGCTATGATCAGGTCAGCAGCTCAAAAGCCACCTGGCATGGGCTACTGCCGCTTCTAGAAATCTCAACCTGACTCCTCAAGGGAAGGAGGTGAGGGTGCTGGGGAGCAGCCCACTCTAAGGGTGCACACAGGGAGGCGGGGCACACGCTGCCCAGTGGCGCTGCCCGTTTGCTCTACCTCTACCAAAGGGAACAGCCCTGCAGGAAGTACTCAACACCCATCACGCTGGTGCTCCCTGGGCAGGGGAGTGATGCTCGCTGAGACTATCCAGCGGCTAGGGAGGGTCAGGCATGGCTGGAGAGGGACAGGCATGGCTGGGGACAGACAGGCACGCTGGGGAGGGACAGATACAGCTAAGGACGGACAGGCACAGCTGAGGAGGGACAGGCACAGCTAGGGAAAGGGAGAGGGACAGACATGACTAAGGACGGACAGACACAGCTGGGGACAGACAGGTAGGGCTGGGGAGGGACAGGCACGGCTGTGGATGGTGTGGTGTCGTGGAGGCCACTGCAGGATGGGTTAGACAAAGTTAGAAATCAAGAGGACACACAGCCATCACACGTCCAGGCAAGGCATTTTCAAGAGAAAAATCACAGAAGAAAAAAAAAAAAAAAACCAACACTTTTGGGTACAACAACACTTCACATTTGGCAACTCTCAAAGAAATAACCTCTTCCCCCACGACTAGAGGGCCCCCCAGTCCTCATCTTTGGTGCCGCTGGAAGAGCCAGGAGGCACACGGGGTCAGCAGGAAGGAAGCTGTGCAAGCAGCTACAACCACCACGAGCTCCCAGCCAGCTGTCTGATTCAGCACATGGCTGGCCTTCCTCAAATGCCCCTGGGGGTGGGGTGGAAGCAAGGGTCCAAGGATCCCCACTGCCTCCGACAAGGGAGGCAGAGTTGTGAGGGGGCAGCTGCGGTGTGCCCTCAGCCAAGGATGGTCATCCCCAATGTCCAGCTCCAGGCATGGACACCCCTCATTTGTATTCCCCAAAGGCCACCGCTTACAGCAACATGGGGCTACTCCGGCAGCTCTATCCTTTGAATGACACCTCCAAGCTACCTCTGCACCTGCTGCCTGGCTGTGAGGGTGCATGGGAGGAGGGCAGCAGGTGCCTCCCAAAGCAGCTACAACGTCCCACGTGCTGTGCTCGGGGGAAGCACGGCCTGGCACAGGAGCAAACCTCTCGTGCTCCAGCTGTTCCGTGGTCTAGGCCACTTCCAAGGAGCTGGGCCTTTCCCCAGCCCCCACAAGGCTCCACCCTGTCATGGTTCTGGCGAGACAAACAGGGCAGCTCTGTGAAGGTGCTCCGTCTCCAGAGGCAGCGGGTGGGGTGGGCGCCTGTGGCTTCGCCCAGGACATGTGGCACAGGGGCCGCAGCTCGGTCACTGTACAGGAGCGGGACTCAACTTCACACGGTGCTTGGCTGCACTGCTCATCACTCAGGACTCTGGGGTTTACATCCGAGACCCCCTCTCCTGAAGAATCTGAAAGTGGAAAGTGGGGGAGAAGGCAGAGGCAGTTGGGCAGATGCTAGGGCAGGAGGAGCCCCAGCTGTGGTGGGCCATGTGGTGCAGGGAGGTCAGCTGACTCTTCGGACGCATACATCTCGGATCAGAGTGGCCGGTTTGAGTCTCAGCTGCCCCTCTTTAGCTCCAGCTTTCTGGTAAGGCAGCCCAGGGGGCAGCTGGGGAGGCTGAAGTGCTTGGGTCCCTGCCACTCAGATGGCAGACCTGGAAGGAGCTCTGGACTCCTGGTCTGGGCTTGGCTGTTGTGGGCATTTGGACACTGAACCAGCAGATGGCAGCCCCATCGCTTGATTTCTCTTTCAGGTAGATGAAAATACATAAACTTTTTTTTTTTTTAAAAAAAGGAGCTTAGCTGTGCCCCTCTGGGCCCTGGTAAATAGCACAGTGATCTTGCCAGCCCAGGCAGGGAGGCAGGGATGCAGTCTCAACCACAGGAAGGGTTTCAGCAGGAAGACTCTAAGCCCCTCACTGCAATAAAACCCACCTCCTATTTGGGGGCTGGTTCAAAAAGTCCCAGCTGCTCCACTTCCAATTCAGCTCCCTGCTACTGGCCTGGGAAAGCAGCAGAGGATGGCCCAAAGCCTTGGGATCCTGCACCCAGGTGGAAGACCTGCAAGAAGCTCCTGGCTTCAGCTCAGCTCAGCTCCAGTCACTGTGACCACTTGGAGAGTGAACTAGTGGATGGAACATCATTTTCTGTCTCTCCTTCTCTCCACAATTCTGCTTTTCTAAATAAAAACAAATTTAAGTAAAGATGTATTTATTTTTTTTTATCAGAAAGCATATTTACAGAGAGGAGAGATCGACTCAGATCTCCTATCTGCTGGTTTATTCCCCAAATGGCCACAATGGCCAGAGTTGAGTCGATCCGAAGCCAGGAGCCAAGAGCTTCTTCTGGGTCTCCCAGGCAGCTACAGGGTCCCAGGGCTTTGGGCCGTCCTCTGCTGCTTTCCCAGGCCACAAGCAGGAGCTGGGTAGAAAGTAGAGCAGTCAAAACATGAATTGGTGCCCATGAGGATGGATCCCAGTGCTTTGCAAGGGGAAGATAAGTCAATTGAGCCAATGTGCTGAGTCCAAAAAAAAAAATCTGCCAAAAAAAATGGACTCTCTTGTCAATTCAGCTAGGGCTCAAGCTGCTGAACCCACATTTTCCCTGCTAGAGCAAACACCTCAGGCTCCCCACATACTGGCTATTCAGGACAAAGTGAGGGGAAGAGAGAGAGAGAGAGAGAGAGAGAGAGAGAGAGAGAGAGAGAGAGAGTGTGTGTGTGTGTGTGTGTGTGTGTGTGTGTAGGAACAGTGGATAAAAGCAAAGGTAACAGGTAAAACAATTAGCTAGGAGCCTTGGGGGACACAGTCTCAATGGGCAGAGGTTACTTTTGGGGGGGGGTTGATGTACTGTTATGATAGGCTAACCTTCCACCTGTGGTACCAGCATCCCGTATAGGTGCCAGTTCAAGTCCCAGCTACTCCACTTCCAATCCAGCTCTCTGCCTGGGAAAGCAGCAGAAGATGGTCCAAGTGTTCTGCACCCACATGGGATACCCAGAGAAAACTCCTGGCTTCTAGTTTCAGACTGGTTCAGTTCTGGCCATTGCAGACATTTGGGGGAATGATCCAGTGGATGGAAGATTTCTGTGATTTTGACTTTCATGTAAAAATACATAAATCTTTTTGAGACAGCAAAAAGCAATAAAACATAAAACCAAACAACAATTTTGAAGAGAGGCAGAGACTTCTTCCCATTTCTGAGTTCAGAGCTCCCAGGAAGTCATCAGGTACAACAGCCTCTTTTGCAACTGGGTTGACAAGTCCCCCTTCTGCAGGCTCCTGTCTGCTGAGGACTAATCCGGGCCTGAAAACCCTGACTGGAATGATAAGGAAAGGAAGACATGAAGGGGAGGCAAAGCAGTGACCTCTGGGGAGCAGCTGGTCAGGCCTGACCACGGGGCGGCCATGCAGCACCAAGCCACGCAGTGCCCAGCTCGCCATGTGTGCACATATGTGAAGGGCTCCTTACCTTCGCCTTTTCGCTCGGCTCTATAACGATGCCGTTGGTGGAATTATTCAGCTCTCTGGAGACAACACAGAGGAACTCGGCCTGGTCCTCGTTTCCATAGTTATAGGAGGAGCCGATGCTGATGAGCTGAGAATGCAATTTGCAAAGCAGAATGACCTTCCAATCCTTGAGGGCCACACACCCACACCGCTTCCTGATGAAGCGTGGAGCTTCACTTCTCAAAGGAGGAAGACTTCTTTGGAACTGTCAAGGCCCTGGAGGGCAGCTCAACTTTAGTTACAGCAACTTGAGCTTCCGAGTTCTGCCACGCCCCTCTCCCTTCTCCACCCCCAACATCATCCACAGGCAACGAAGGCAGTGACAACTACAGAAAGTAGGCCTGACCCCTGTGAGGCTGGATCCACTTTGGAAGTCAGTGGAAGAACTGAGTGCCTCTGATATCTAATGGAAAGAGACCATTAGCTTGGCTGGCAGTCTCCTAGCTGATCTTGATGGCAAGCAAGCACCGAGCAGCAGGAACCCAGCCTCATGCCCCACTCTCGTGGCACTGACTGCTCTGCCCGATACCTGCTCACCAATTGTCCCGATGGACACACAGAAGCACAGAGACAGGGAGAGCTTGTTGTCAAGCCCCTATCCTCTTTAAGGCCTCATTCTAGAATGTGTCCCCAAAGCCCTCTACAGGAATCCCTCAGAGACACGTTCCCACCTAAAGAAGCTTGCTGGTTTCCCAGGCACAGCCAGTTCAAAGTTTGGATGGAAGCGGGGAGAGCTCCCAGCTTGCCCCACTTCACCTTGCACGACTGAGTATTACATGGCCGTGTCTTGGGCCCCACGATGTCCCAGGGTCATTAAGGCGGCTGTCTGAAGGGGGATCCACGTGGGAGGGGATACCTGCTCAAACTTCCAGCCGTCAGACATGGTGGAGACCATCTGCGTGAGCTCCTCTTCCTGGCACTGCAGGACTCTGTAGACATGCTTCACGGGGCCCTGCAAGCAGCAGGCAGATGCAAGGTGCAGTGTCAGGGGCGCGGTGGTCTGAACCAACACTGCAAAGGAGTAAGCCCCCCAGCTACTACGCCTGTCAACACACAGCACTGCGGGTTTTTAATAAAACTTCCTCCAAGGAAAGAAACAAAGAAGGCCCTTGAAGGTGAATCAATGAGCAAAAGAATTCTTAGGAAAGATGCGTCTGTGAACAATCATGCTGACAAACTTGGATCTCACTCATTTCCCCAAGCAGAAAAGACAGTCACAGGCTTTTGTAAAGGAAAGCCACATTTTCCCCGGAGTGACAGCTGACATGCACGCTGCAGATGTACTCTGTATCTGGGCTTAATCAGAGTGAGGTGACGATGGAGCAACACGTCCTATGGGGACCCAGGAATTCCACAATGCGCGAGTGTTCCAGCTACCTCCACTGTGTCTCCACCTTAACAGGAACATCCTGCCACTGATGTGTACTACAACAGGCTTGGTTTCCGCCTGCATCCAGGTGGGAGTATCTTTTGCTTGCTAATGAGCTGACTCCTGCAAGTGGTAGTGGAAGCCACAGAGGGTTCAGGACGGAGGCTGCTTGCCAGAGCGACCCAGCTGATGGTTGGGGAGCTAGATCCTCCGGCCCTAAACGTGACGTCCAGGAGAGTGGGGCTCGGGGACAGGGGGTAAGACTATCTATCCCTAAGGTATACAGTGAGTCATGGCTATGGGATGAGCACCCTAACATCCCATAAACAACAGAGTTCAGTCAGCTGTGAGCTCTGGGGAATGGGGGGTGTGTGGGGTTGGGGGTGCGCAGGTGCCTGCCCTTGGGAGCCGGTGGACTCTGCTGTGTGCATGTATCCTCCCCAGGTTATCATCTGCTGCACACTTCAGGACGCACTGTGGGAGTACGCAGAGCGAGTTCCTGAGGCCTGTCAGTTGTTCCAACACATGACTGAATCCAAAGGTAGGGGGCTGTGGTGACCCCTGAATTTTCGGCCCAAGCAGGTCAGATAGCCTGAGGACCAGAATGAGTACGGTCTGTGGCATCAAACCTCAGGTTCTGGGAGGCTCGACTCCTCTCCAGACAGGCAGTGTCAGGACTGACTCAATGAAGACAATCACTGGCTGGCCACGGACTGGCTTGCCCGGCCCAGCTCTCTGGAACAGGGGTGAGGAACACGTGCAGGCCACACAAGGTCTCCAAAGTCACCTGGTCTGGCTCTGCCAAGGTGACTGCAGGTGGAACCTGAAATTCAATCAACCCAGGGCAGGCTGACTCAGTGTTGATACTTTTGCTCTATGTGGCTTGTGGCAGAAAAAGGTTCCCCACTTCCCAGTCCTGCTCTGGGAGGTAACTGGAGCCAGAACAGCAGACAGTGGCATGAGGACGGCCCCTCAACTTCAGCATGAGTGCTCCTGTGCTTCAGGCCCAGGCGACCCCTTCACACTTGCACGTGGCCCACTGGGGACCAGCAGCCAACGTGAGGTGGGGGCAAGGGCTGCTGGAGACACATTCACCAAACAGAAGCTGCTACCACTAGCAAGACAAGCAAAGGCAGAGACTAATGCCAAATGCCCAGCCACCTACCTGGGACTATTCAGCATTGGTTCCCAAAACTGCACAGCTTCTGCCCACCCTGGAGGCCACACTCGCTGGCAGAGGCCACAACAAGGATGCTCAAAATGACAACTGGGCCTGGTACAATAGCTCAACCTCTACCTCCAAGCACCAGGATCCCATATGGGCCCTGGTTTGTGTTCCAGTTGCTCCACTTCCCTTCCAGCTCCCTGCATGTGGGCTGGGAAAGCAGCAGAGGACGGCCCAAAGCCTTTGGGACCCTGCACCCATGCGGGAGACCCGGAAGAACTTTTGTCTCCTGGCTTCGGATCGGCTCAGCTCTGGCCGTTGCAGTTACTTGGGGAATGAATCAGTGGATGGAAGATCTTCCTCTCTGTCTCTCCTGCTCTCTCTATATCTGCCTTTCCAATAAAAATAAATCTTCATTAAATAAAATAAAATAACTACAACTGAGTACTTCCCTGAGGAGATGAGCGCACGGAACAATCAGTACGGGCAGTCATGACAGTCACAGAACAACAGAGCCTGGGCGAGCCCAGACCAACACAGCAGCTCTCCCAGCGAGTGCCGCCAGCCCAGTGCCTGCCCCTCCTCGGCTAGCTGAGGGTGCCGGGGTCTGCAGGGGCAACTGGCCTGCACAAGGCTGTCCAGGAGAGGGCAGGCCAGGGGAGCTCTCAGACCAGGGCCACCCGCCAACCCTGCTTCCTAAGTGAGGTACAGCAGTCACCAAGCACGGCACTGAGGTCCAACAGCTCCTACGGAAGCAACAGGACCAAGTCCTAGTTTTTAGCCACACGTGCTGGAACAACCCTGTATTACACCACCCAGCATGCCATGGAGCTGTGCCCCACGGCCCCCTGATAAGGCCCTAGCATCTAAGATGTCTTACAAGCCTCTATTTCCTCTTCCAAAGCCCCACCACCCTGATCAGTCACCCAGTCACAGCATCATACAGTGAAGCAGTCAGGACGGCCACAAAGGGAGAGGATGGGGCAGCAAAAGGGCAGTGGGTGGCAAGGCCACGCCAGGCTCTGCCCGCAGACACACGGAGGACGACAGCGCGTGTGGAAATCCATACAGGGCCACTTTGTCGCGGGGGCCATGCCAAAGAGGGGGCTTTTGAACATTAAATGAACACTTCACAGGGTCACCAAATGAAAGACCAACTCAGCATCAAAGAGCTCTTGACATTTCCAGAAGAAAAGCCTTTAAACTGGGTAGTCACCACGGAGAGAAGCCTCACAATACTAGCCAGCAAGCAGCTGATGGCCACGATTTGGGCACGGCGACTGAAATGGCTGGAATCACGTGATGTATGAGATTGCCAAAATTTATACTTTTTTTATATAATCAATCCTTTTCAGACTGTGGAGAACTGGGATAAGGCTGGATTTCCAACCTAACTGAGTACCTAGCAAGTATCTACAACAGCGCAGGACGCTGAGAATGAACGAGAGGTAGCAGAGAGGTGAGTGCCACCACGCGTCATTTCAGTTATCAGCAATCCAGCAGCAAACCACCCCTCCCCACAGAGGGAGGAGCTGGCCAGAACATGGCCTGCTCTCCCTTCACTGGCTGTCCACTTCTGTCCTGGCTGTCAGTGAGCCCCATGCTCCCAAGAGCAGACCATGGCGAGGGCAGCGTTGCTCTAAGTCTGATGCTGAGGAGTCAGGCTGGAGCCTCAGGTTTGAAAAGACACGCACACCACATTGTGTAGGGCCAGAAATGTCTGCCGCCACAGACCAAACAGAGGCGACATCCCCTGGCAGCAAGCGCTGAGTGAGGCTCAATTGTGACAGAGGACAGTTGGCCGTGGCGGGACAAGACTGCCCATCGTACCGCAGACACACCTGAATGTGTAAGGGAGTGCTTGCTTTTCCTGCCAGCCGCCAAGCTTCCTGCGGTCAAGGTGCGTCTCCTGTGGCTGCTGGCGTGCTGGGAGCCACAGACGGGCTGCCTCTTCTGCTCAGGCCAGGGGCAGTCTGGGTTTCATGTCTTTTCCCAGTTGATAAGAAGCCAGACATCATCCCCCGGAGGAGGTCCAAGGCCATCTTCCCAGCAGCCTGACCACCAAGCAGCTTCTCCACTCTACCCTGAGGCTCCTTCCCGGCTTCCAGGAAGCGGAGGGGCCCAATCGCACAGCAAAGGCTCCTCCGCACGACAAGCAGCGTGAAGAGGGAGGACTTTGTGCATGCCTCGGGTCGAGGGAGAAAAATCCCACAGAGGGGACAGGCGTAGCGACATGCTCCTTGTGCTTAGGGAGCACAGGCTGTGCTGCTTCACCCTTCCCCCGCCTCTGTCTCCTTGTTCCACACCAGTCTGAGGATACGCCATCTGCCCGGCAGACGGACCGCACTGCAGGCAGACGTGCAGCTCTAAAGGGCACGGCACACACGCACGCACGCACACATGCACGGAGGCAGCCATGTGGGATGCTGCCCCCTGACCTGCGAGGTTCTGTTCTCGTTGTCCCGTATCCTCTCCTTAACCAGCCGCACGAGGGATGCGATGTTGTAGAACTCTGCTTCTTCCAGCACGCCTGCAACGAGGAGCGGAGTGTGGTTAAGGTGTGTGGGGACGGCCTGAGCTCAGACACAGTCCTGCTTCCATCTGTTCACCGCCTGGCACTGGACATCAGCTGCAAGACAGCTTCCCCCATGTGACTGAGTGCCAGGAACCTGCCACTTTACCCAGTGTGCCCCGAAAAGAACCTGTGTGTGTACCCTCACAGGGATCAAAGTTCTCAGCATGCATATGATCTGAACAGTAGTAAAGGCAAATCTCGCAAGACTCCTCTGCTGAACAGAACCAAGGACCCTTGGCAGGACAAAAGTGGAACATGGGCTCCCGCGCTGTGAAGGCCATTGCAGTGGTGAAAATGGGCCACAAGCTAAAGATGAAACTATTCTAAAGTTGATTTTTTAAAACTATTTATTTTTATTACAAAGTCAGATATACAGAGAGGAGGAGAGACAGAGAGGAAGATCTTCCGTCTGATGGTTCACTCCTCAAGTGACTGCAATGGCTGGAGCTGCGCCAATCCGAAGCCAGGAGCCAGAGCCTCTTCTGGGTCTCCCGCATGGGTGCAGGGTCCCGAGGCTTTGGACCGTCCTCTGCTGCCTTCCCAGGCCACAAGCAGGGAGCTGGATGGGAAGTGGAGCTTCCGGGATTAGAACTGGAACCCATATGGGATCCCGGCGCGTTCAAGGCAAGGACTTTAGCCACTAGGCCATGCCGCCAGGTCCCCAACAAATAATTCTTTAAAATGACATTCTGGAAGCCAGAACAGTGGCTTGCCAGGTTAATCTCCACTTACAAGTACTGGCATCCTATTTGGTGCTAGTTCTTGTCCCAGCTGCTCTACTTCCAATCCAGTGCCCGTACGGAATCCTGGTGCATGCAAGGTGAGAATTCAGACATTGAGCCACTTAGCCATGTGCTGGGCCCTGTTTATCTTTCAAAAGTATCTGTTAGAAGCAGAGGCCAACAATTCCCCAAATGCCCACCAGGTTCTCAGAACTCAATCCAGGTCTTTGCGTGGGCAACAGGAACCCAGGCACTCTGAGCACCAGCACCTCCCACGTTTACACTGGCAGGAGGCTGGAGTCAGGAGTTAGAGGAAGACATTGTGCCCAGGCACTTCAGCATAAGGCCAGAGCCCACCCTCCAAAACTTCAGGTTTTAAAATGGTACCCACATGGGAGGCTGGCACTTTCAGGCAGGCAGAGGATTAGTCAGCTGAGCCATTGCACTGGCCACTAAAGCAGCACTTTTACAGAAAGCAGCTGCTCTTGTTACAGGATGAAGGGGTTGTCTTGCAGCAGCTGTTTAGTAGCTAGTACAGCTAGTAAAAGTCTGATTATGCAGAGCTGTATTCCCAGACTGGGGTGCCCGGAATCACCTGAAGGCCTTGGGGGAACCCACACCACTTGGGGCCACCTACAGTCCTGACATCTCTCCCACCCCTCCGTCCCACCAAAGAAAACAGGATAAGGTAAGGAGTGGCCTGACAACGAACGGGAGGATGAATTAGGTCAGCTGTAAAAATACCCAGGCAAGCAGGCGACCAGAGCCTTAAAAGAAACGAGGCCAAGCTTTTATTCTTTTCTTTATAGCCATGAGTTCAAACAAAAATCGCAAATATAAATAACTCAGTGTCAGAGATGCACTGCTCCAGGCTACGGACCGGAAGCGTCTCAATAACGGAATAATAAAAGGACCGTGAGAACCCTGCAGCTCGGAAAGGCTTCTCGAAGCGTCGGCAAGCTCAGTTCGCCATCCGCCTCCCACTAGGATGGCAGCACAGGGGCCGGCACGCTGCCCTGGACAGGACTCCCTCAGCCAAGGTGCATAACTTACACCAGCTCCACGAAACCTGCCTCTCCTCTCCCCGCAACAAAAACCCAGATCTGTAGATGTGCCACACAGCTTTTGCATCTGCCTGACCTCCAGAAACGACCCATGCAGACGGCGCCCTTACCTTCCTCTGCCAGCTCCTTGGTGATGATCAGCTTCCCGTGGCGGAGGTAGTTTAGGATGGGACCAAAGTACGTGGGGTCTCTGTCAATCAGGTAGGCCCCCGTCTCATCCTGCCGACCAAGCACATGCTGTCACTGTGGGGTCTGTCTGCAGGGGCGGCGTGGCACCGCGGAGAACCTTCCCCCAACAGCCAGCACAACTCCGATGTGCGCAAGTTTTGTTAGGCGTTGGCTGACTGCAAACTACTGCCTGGCCAGAGGGCTGACTAGGTATCTCGGAGCGTAAGCCCATTGCAGACGCGGAGTTAGGGAAGCACAGTAGTGTTCATCATCCAGGTCTTTACCCACTGGCCTCAGCTTCTAAAATTTGTGCTAGGGCAACCCCCAGGGGTCCTTCTGGGGAGGGAGGATCTGGCATTTGGAAAGGTTGGAAGAAAATGCCATTGCTGAGTGATTTGAGTCTGGGTGTGTGACGGACGTTCCCACCTCTTTCCTGCCCCTGGAACCACATTCTTAATTCTAAGAAAAACCTCTGTTCTGTCAGCAACAACAGGCTTGAGCCCAAGGCCAGTGTCTGTGGGAGCTGGCCCTGCCAGCTGTTCTCTCACCGCAGCTCTGAGCCCGAAGGAAAAGCTCGGGGCTGCGGCGACTTGGCTGCCAGCAGCTTTAAGCCTACTCCTCTTTACAGCGAAAGGAACAAGAAGCTGGCTTAGGCTGCCACAAGGTGAAGCCTAGATAAAAATAATTCCCACGGAGATAAAGGGCTTTGTAATCCCTTTTCTTTCAACTTAGGGAAAGAGGTTTTCATCAATCCTATATCAAGGGAGAGAGGAGAATAAAGGAAGTGGACAGTGATGCAATCCCAGCTCAGGTACAAAGTAACCAGCTGAGTGACAGCTCAAGCGGTTTAATTAATCGGGCCTGTGCAGGTAAAGAGAAACAGCAAACTATAGTTGAAACTGTGGTTAGGTGCCCTGTCCTCTCTCAGTCCTTAGGTTAAAAGCCATGCAGCCTGTACATCAATCTTCGTCTTAGCCCATTGGCCTAGACTCGCCTCAGTCCCCTCAAGTGGTAAAGCTTAGCTTGTTTTCAAGCAATGTATTTGATTTGATTTGGGATACGGACCTAAAACGGTGTTATGACTAAACTCAAGTTCTGGAACCAGGACGCTAGACGCGCGCTTCCTACAGGTACGGGAGCCACCATCAGGTCCCAGCTTACATTCAACTTGGCCAAGGGGTTTGGATAGCAAGTCCGAGCAAGCTACAAAGATGCCTTAGCTCACTCTGACCCAGTTCACGATTCGTCTGGCTCCGGCAGTGAGGGCAAAAAGCTCATGCAAGATCTGGGGGAGCTGGCTGGGGTGTGGGGCAGGGGGTGTGAAGCAGGTGCAGCTAGCCTAAGAAGGGAGCCGCTGGGAACGCAGGGCGGGGTCAGAGCGCACAGGGGTGTGCCTGGGGCTGGGGGACGTAGGGGACTCCTTCTGCCGCTCCGGGGGCTGCCGGGGGGAGCCGAGGGGCAGCGGGCTCTAGGACTCGGGGGGTGACGAGCCTCGGACGATCGGGGCGCGGGGGGCGTCCGAAGGGCCGGGGACGCGCCCGAGGGCGGGGCGCACCTTGTCCGAGTCCAGCTCCGGGTCCTCCTGGCAGCAGAGGCGACAGAGGAAAGACTTGGGCTCCCGGCCAAGGGTCTGTCTGGTGGTCACGAAGTAGGTGCCGCCCACATTGAGCCGCACCCAGCGGGTCGCGCCGCCGCCCCCTGCCCGCTCGGGGGGTCCGGGACCCGGCTCCAGGGGCTGCGCGGCGCCGGCGGCGGGCGGGCGCGCGTGTCCGCGGGGCGTGGGGCCCGCGGGCCGAGGACTGGGGGGCCCGCGGCCCGGCCCACCCCCGTCGCCCCCCACGCTGCCGCCACCCCCTCCCAGCCCCGCCATCGCCGGGTCCAGCTGCAGCTCCGCCATCTTGGGCCGCCGCCGCCGCTGCCCGCGTGCCGCCGGGCCGGCCCATTTCTCGGCAGGGAGAGCCGGGCCGGCCCATCGGCGGGGGTGGGGCAGAGGAGAGGGGGGCCGGCAGCGCCCCCCAACCAGCTCCGGGGGAGCGGCGAGGCGCAGGCGCCGGGCCCGCCCCGAGCCTGCCCCCGCGAGGCCACACTTCCGGAGCCAGGCTGCGTCGCCGTTTGCTGCCGCGCGCGCCTGAGCCCGCCTCCGGGGCTTTGCTATTGGCCGAGGGGAGGCCTTCCGGTGCTCCCCTTCCGTCGCTGGCTGCGGTGGACTCGAGTGTCCGGGGTCGGTGAAGGTGAGTGGGGCTCGGGGCGCCGGGCCTGCGTGGCGGTGGCTTCCTCTGCTGGGCAGCGCCCCACGCGTGTCGCCCTTAGGCCGCCGTGCTCTCGGCAGGTGCCGCTTGCGGTGCGGGTTCTTGGCTGCGCGCTGTCCTCGCCGCCTGTCCCTCCGCGCGGGGTCGTGGGGGTCGCGCCGCGAACGGGGCGGCTGCAGGCGTCGGGGTTCGGGATCGGGTTGGCTACAGGCGTCGGGGTTCGGGATCGGGTTGGCTGCGGGCGTCGGGGTTCGGGATCGGGTTGGCTGCAGGCGTCGGGGTTTGGGATCGGGTTGGCTGCGGGCGTCGGGGTTCGGGATCGGGTTGGCTGCGGGCGTCCAGCTTCGGGCAGCGCTGTCGGCTTCTGGAGGGCCTTGTGGGGCCTCTCGCTGTGCACCTGCCCTGGGCATAAGGTGCATGGAAGACGGGCCGCTCTGCTGGGGAAGCCCTCATGGCAGCTTGCTTCCCCCTCCTATGTCATGTCTGACTTCTTAGTCTTCTCCTGATCTGACCCTGAGCTTGTCTGTTTATATGTGTGTGTGTATTATACACATGGTTATTTACATATATGTGTGTATATGTTGTGTGTGTATACATATATATCCACTTACATGAAAAGGAAGGTGTATAGCGATACGTGTGTGTGTGTGTGTGTGTGTGTGTGAAGAGTCCCTTAAACTTGTGTAAGATCGGAGGGCAAGCCAACAGGTGCCGTTGCATTGGATTTTCTTACAGTGTCTGAGGTCAGCAGGGCTGGTGTTGTCTTTGTTCTACAGGCAAGGGAGCTCCAGCTCAGTCGGCCCCGTCTGACCCTCATGCAGACTGTATTGTGGGCCAGGTTCTGTCTTTCAAGGTTTATTTATTTTTATTTGAAAAGGCAGATGTGCAGAGAACAGACAGAAGGCACTCCTTAAATGGCCACAATGGCCAGGGCTGAGCTGATCCCAAGATGGGAGGCAGGAGTCTCCCATGTGGGTGTAGGTCCCAAGGCTTTGGGCCGTCCTCCACTGCTTTCCCAGGCCACAAGCAGGAAGCTGGATGGGAAGTGGAGCCACCCAGACATGAACTGACACCTGTATGGGATGCTGGCGCTTGAAGGTGGAGAATTAGCCAGTTGACCCACTGTGCTGCCCCATCAAACAATTAACTTTCAGACAGTGTGTGAGCTCTTATAGCAGATTTCCAGGTGTGCTTGGGCTTTTAAGGACAGGTAGGCGTTGGGAGCCAGGCGAAGCACAGTCTGGAGGGACCAAGTGTATGTGTGCTTGTGAAGGGGGGACGTGATGGCTTTGCAAAGCTAACCTCTTTCTCTGCCTTCCTTCCCTGGTTGGCACGTGCGCGCTGAGCACTCGCAGCCGCAGTTCCGTTGCCCGCCTTCCACCATGAGGCCCTTCCTGGGGGATTCCCTCCCAGCACTCTAGTCATCAGCCCATTTTGTTTTCCAGGATCCAAGATGGCCGGGCGCAAGCTTGCTCTAAAAGCCATAGACTGGGTAGCTTTTGGGGAGATCATACCCCGAAACCAGAAGGCTATCGCTAACTCCCTGAAGTCCTGGAATGAGAGCCTCAGCTCCAGGTCAGTGTGCTGCTGGAGGGAGCCGGGCTTGGCGCTCAACGCAGACATCTTAACTTCTAATGCTTTCTTGACAAAGATGAAGAAATCCAGGCATGCCCCATGGAAAACAGCCTTTTTGCTTTTTTTTTTTTTTTTAGGATTTATTTGAAAGGCAGAGAGTTACAGAGACAATCTTCCACCTGTTGATTTCTTTCTCAAATGGTTACAATGGCCGGAACTGAGCTGAACAGCAGCCAGGAGCCAGGACTTCTTCCAGGTGCCCCATGTGGGCACAGGGGTGCGAGGAGTTGAGCCCTCCTCCACTGATTTTCCAGGCACATTAACTAGGAGGTGGATCAGAAGTGGAGCAGTGGGGCCTGGCGTGATAGCATAGTCACTAAAATCCTTGCTTTACAAGTGCCGGGATCCCGTACGGGTGCTGGTTTGTGCTTCACTTCCTATCCCTCTCCCTTCCTGTGCCCTGGGAAAGCAGTAGAGGATGGCCCAAAGCCTTGGGATCCCGTACTGACGTGGAGACCTGGAGGCAGCTCCTAGCCTCGAGTCACTCCTTTATTGCAGCCACTTGGGGATTAAACCAGTGGATGGAAGATCTTTCTATCTGTCCTCCTCTTTGTAAATCTGACTTTCCAATAGCAAATAAACAAATCTTTAAAAAAAAGTGCAGCAGTAGGGAATTGAACCAATGTCCTTATGGATGTTAGCACTGCAGGTAGTGGCTTAATGCACTGTGCCACAGCCTTAGTCCTATCCATCTTGGAGTTTCCTTTTTTATTTTTTAAAAATTTTTTTGGAATTCAGTCAGCCAGTGTAATTTATTTCATCACAGTTGATTTTTTTTTGTGGGTAATATTATTATTTCCATATTATTTCCTTCATGTATCTGAGGTCCCCACCCAGTTTCCCATCCACCCCAAGTCCCGTATGTGGGGCATGCTCTGAGATACTTGCTCAAGTGGTTTTGATAGTTCACCACTTCTTGGATTTTCACAGTGACTTTCCAGGAGAAATGTATGCTGGCATGTCGGACCATTAGAGTCTGGAAAGGAGACTTGCCCTCTGCATTTCCTGCTGTCCGTGGAACGGGCATAATACTGGTTTTCCCCTCTGAGCAGGTTGGCCACTCTTCCCGAGAACCCGCCAGCCATCGACTGGGCCTACTACAAGGCCAACGTGGCCAAGGCGGGCTTGGTGGACGACTTTGAGAAGAAGGTGAGTTGCAGACATGGGCACTGTGGGGCAGTTTGGATAAGGAGGGGAGCAGGAGGCAGGCCAGGGCAGGTTGAGAAGGCAGGTCCTCGGGGCCGTGGGGGCGGAGCCATGGCACTGTCGCGTTCAGTGTTTCCTCTCAGTGTCCTGAGCTCCTTCTTAGCTTCCTGCTGTCTCCTTTCAGAGCAAATGTCTTTTCTGCTATTTTTTCACTGTCTGTTACTGCTGTAATGTCTCACTTACCTAGCCTCTTGTCTTACTTCAAACAAACATACATGTATATTTGAAAGGCAGAGACAGAGAAGACAGATCTCCAGTCGGCTGGCTCACTGCCCAAATCCCAGAATGACCAGGCTCGTCTGGGCCAAGGTCAAACGTCAAGAACTCCATCCGGGTCTCCCAGCTCTCTGGGCCTTGGCGCTCCCCAAGTGCTTTAGAAAGAAGCTGGATCTGGTGGGAGAGCCAGGGCTTGGACCAACATTCCAGTACAGGATACAGGCTTTCCGAGCAGCAGCTTAATGTGCTGTGCCACTGCAGCTGTCCCACTTAACGTGTTTGAATCTCAGTATTCAGAGTTCAGTTGCTTGTTCCTTTGAAGATGCAGGGTCTGCTGAAGGGCAGGCTGCCAAGGCGACTGACTCCATCGCCATTAGGTGGTCACAGGTGCTGCCAGTCAGCCCTCTGAGGTTCCACAGAAAAGCGAAATCAGATTCTCGTTAGAATCAGAAGGCTAACGAATGGTAGTTAGCATGCTCGCTCACCGAGCCCACTGTCCACACTGGAGGGCTTTGGGCTGAGTCCCAGCTCTGCTTCCACTTTCCGATTCCTGCCAGGCATGCCCTGGGAGGCAGCAGCAGGTGACTGACGGCTCAAGGATTGAGTCCCTTGGCAGCTGTGTGGGGCACCAGGTGGGGTTTGTGACTCTGGCCTCACCCAGGTCAACCTGCTGAAAGCATTCTGGCATGCAAGCCCTCATTGCACACCTCCTTGTCTTCTCTCTCCCTCTGCTTGTGAAATAGATAAAAAAGTAAGTGTTCCAGGTCTTCGAGTCCATCTGTTGTTTTCCAGCCAAAAAGCAGACGCTTGTGGGCATAAAGAATTGTCCAGGGTCCCCAGCCAGGAGCAGGGCTGAGGAGAGCGCTGGGCCCCGTCCTGTCTCGGGGTCCTTGCATCCTGGCTTCCTCGTGGAATGGAGGCCGATGCAGATGCACCGGCCGGTGACCCCATCTCTGGGCTGCGGACGGTCCTGGTGGCAGCTCACTGTCCTTGTGTTTGTAGTTCAGCGCCCTGAAGGTTCCCATGCCCGAGGACAAATACACCGCGCAGGTGGACGCGGAGGAGAAGGAAGACGTGAGTAGCGGGCACCGCCTGGCGGCGAGGGCAGGGCAGAAGGAATTCAACAGAACATGCAGGCGGTGACAGCAAAAGTAAATACTACACAGGTGAACCGCACGGTGTGCCGAGTGAAGGAAGCTGGCAGGAAACTCGATACTCCGTGATTCCGTTTTTATACAGCTCGTCTCATACCCTGGTCGGAGGGTGGGGTGGCGTCGTAAGTGCAAGCCTATCAGATGGTGCCCTTTGTGTGTGGACATACTTCAGCAAAGCTGTTGGAATCAGGGAGAAAAAGCTGTTGGAATCAGGGAGAAAAAGAATCGTCTGGTAGCTATTTGTCTGAAAGCACTGAAGGCCAGACGTCAGGACCACATGTCTGCGTCTGTGTCGCCTGGCCGGAGGACCAGCTGGCCTGGCCTGGTGGTTAGTGACCGAACTCTGTGAAGCTGTCAGTTACCTGGCCTGGGACCTGGCTGTAGAACGCTGGTCCTTCCATTGGCAGTTGGCGTTCCTGCCTGGGCTGCTTCATAGGGTGTGGGGAATGCTGAGGTTGGCTCCGCGGGCCCCAGCTCCACGCAGCAGCAGGGGCCGCTGGCCAGCGCTGTTCTGGCCCGGGAGCCCTGGGTCAGGCTGCGTTTTGTGATGGAGTCTCCACCTCTTACAGGTGCGAAGCTGTGCGGAGTTCGTGTCTCTCTCCAAGGCCAGGATTGCGGAGTATGAAAAACAGGTAAGGAGGCCCGCCTTTGCCTTGGCGTCTGCGGTGTCTGCTGGCCGCACGTCTCTGACAGCGTGGCAGGTGGTGACCCCCTCGGCGGCCCCCCTCCCTCCTCTCAACATCCCCTTCCCCGCCTGCAGCTGGAGAAGATGAGGAACATTATCCCCTTCGACCAGATGACCATCGAGGACTTGAACGAAGCCTTCCCAGAAACCAAGTTAGACAAGAAGAAGTATCCGTACTGGCCCCACCAGCCGATCGAGAACTTGTAAGCCCGAGTCGGAGCGAGCTCTGCACAGTGTGCAGTCGAATAAAGCGTACTCAGTGTGCTGTATCGGTCGGCTCTCTGCCTCGGGGCCAGGCCGGGCTCGATGTGGCCCCGTGGGCAGTCGTGTCAGGATGAACACGTGAGGAACTGTGTGTAGTCCAGAAACACAGGAGCTGGGCTCTCGGTGCTAGGCTGCTGGGCCCTGCCATGATGGTGTGGCCCAGTGAGGGGGGCACCATGCCTAGGAGGCTGGGTGACCTGGTGAACTGTGGGAGCTGCCAGCTGCAGACTGAGGGACATTTCCTGCTAGTTTTCTCCCAACAAGCAGAGGGACTAATGAGAATGAAATGAGCTAATGTAGGAAGTTTCTAGATGGAAGTGATGTCAGCCCTCGCCCCACAAGGGCCGAGTTGCTGAGCTGGCACCTGGCTGTCCCCACTCTAGGAATTCAGACAGCAGCTGAGCGAGTGGAGGAACATCCCCACGGTGCCTTCAGCGAATGTTAGGGTGAGGCTAAGGGATGCTCATGAGGCCGCCCTCCCCGCACTGGAGCCTTTGGATGCTTCCTGAGAAACGTCCTTGAACTTCAGCAGAAGGTGCTCTTGGTCGGTGGCACTTGGTGGGCCACTTTCACACCTGCCAAGGCTGCTGGAGGTCTTTGCTTTGGATGTGCAGTTTGTGTTAAAAGCAGTCACGTGCTAGAGTTATTCCTGGCAAATTGCTAGGGAGGGCAAAAAAAAAATCTATAAAGTTCCAGGGCTAAATGAAAACATGAGTAGAGGAGCAGACACAGTGAAGAGAAGGATTCATCTGGCTGGACCCAGGCAGGACCCAGGAGCAGGCTGCCCATCAGCTCAGGAGCATCAGGGTACCATCTGCCTACCTGAAACTCAAAGCTGACATTGAAGGGGAAAAGTAAGCATCCTGCCTTGGAAGCAAAGTCAGTCTGTACCTACAAGCGCAGTAGACAGGCTCACTTCCTGTCTGCACAGCAGCCAGGGCTGCGTCGCACAGCATGCTCACTCTCAAGTTTCTTTTCAGATTTATTATTATTTGAAAGGCAGAGTTAGGGAGCAAGAGACCTCTCCGTCTGTTGGTTTACTCCCCGGATGGCCACATGGGTGGCGGGGCCAGAGCACTGGGCCATCTCCCACTGCTCTGCCGGGTGCTGGACTGGAAGTCTGCGTGCTTTGGAGGGCAGCAGCTCAAGCACTGGGGTTTCAGCCCCAGCCCCAGCCCCTGCTGTTTGGTTTAAGCGAACCATGCCTTTCAAATAAAAATAAAGAACAAGCACAATTTTGCAATCCCCCATAAAATAACAGGCACGTGAACAATAAAGAAACTAAAGCTGATGGGGGGGCGTGTCACCGCCCAGCACCACATTGATGGGCCCAGCGCTTTGTGCCAGCAAGGACCAAGAGAAGTACTTGGTTCTAGGTTCAATCTCAAAGCTTTAAACAAACGTTCAGTTTAGAGGCACAATCTGGGATAGGGGGTCAAGTTCAGGGAACAGGGAAGGACAAGAAGACAGATTTAAAAAAAAAATTTACAGATGAAGGTTGACGGGTTTTTCTAAGAATAACACCAAGGCAGAATCTAGAAACGAATTAAAAAAACGGAATCTGAGGGCAGTAAACTCCATACTTGCATGACCTTTTAGGCTTATGTGGTATGACCTTGAACTGCCCAGCCAAGTCTGGGGGTGTGGTGTCCAACCCACCAAGTCCTGAGCACCAGTTCCTGCCCCAGGTGCCACTGCTGTCACCTTGGCAAGCCTGTCCTCAAGCCTGTGTCCTGATACGCTGGCTCCCCACTGCCATAGTGCTGTCCACGCGGCTGTTGAAGGGACTTTCTGGAAGGCAAACATGGTCATTTTATTCCTCTGCTTAACCCTGGCCCCTGGCTTCGCGCAGTCCCCTGGCCCCTGGCTTCACGCGGTCCCCTGGCCCCTGGCTCCGCGCGGTCCCCTGGCCCCTGGCTTCGCGCGGTCCCCTGGCCCCTGGCTCCGCGCGGTCCCCTGGCCCCTGGCTCCGCGCGGTCCCCTGGCCCCTGGCTCCGCGCAGTCCCCTGGCCCCAGGCTGCCAGCTCTCATGGCCCCGTTCACACCCTGTTAGAGCAAGCTGCTGAGTGCGCTTCCCAGGCCACACTATCATGAGACATTTGAAATGCTTGTGATTAGCTTTAGGAGGTTCTAGAACATCCTTTGCTGACTACCTGATGTGCCCATATGGGAGCTGCTCTGCTTCGGCTCCAGCTTCCTGCTACCTGGCAGGTACCCAGCGGGAAGCGCTCTGGCCCTACCTTCTCCATGGGAGCCTGGAAGGAATTCTGGGCTCCTGACCCTGAGCTGCCTCTGTCCTGGCCATTGTGGCATATGGAAGGTCTCTCCCTCCGACCATCTCCTCCCTGGCCAGAGCGGTCTAGGGATTACGCAGACACGGTCGGGAAGACCAACGCCGCTAGGGCGACGCCCTTTGGAACTCCACCCCTGGTTCCGGCCCTGGAACAAGCGCAAGCCGCTTTCCTCCCTGCGAAGTTCGGGAACGCTGCGGAAGGTCTCATCCTGTGACTTCGCATGTCCCTGCCTCTACGGAGGCCTCCCCGGGCTCCCCGGGCTCCCCGGCTGCCGGCCGCATGAGGGCACGGAGGGCCTGTTAGGGTGTGGTTCCCCTGGGCTCCCTGAAGTCGCTGCCAGCAAATCTCCGCAGCCTTCTCCAGCCTCCAGGAACCGCGTTCTTGGCCCCTTGCAGGTCCTGGAATCCCCCAGGTTGGGATTTAAGGAGAAAAGAATTCATTATAGCCAAGGCATGCAGCAAAACGTAACTAGACTGCTGCTTCAAAATGTGGAAGAGAACGTTTTAAATTGGCTGCTTCTTTCTCATAATGAGACTTCCACCCCAGATGGGACTCGAACCCACAATCCCTGGCTTAGGAGGCCAGTGCCTTATCCATTAGGCCACTGGGGCTTCACGCAGGTGACGCGCGATCACGTGCCCCTTAGGCTGTGACACCGTGTCCTGCGCGGTGACGTCACATGCGGGCTAGCGTGAATTGCCGGACCCGCGCCCAGAAAGGGTTTGGGGACACTTCGGGGGATTCCGAGGGCCCCGAGGCCAGCGCGGACGCGGCGTCCGGTCGGAGACTGGTGGTCGAGAGTTGAAAGGGACCCAAACGCCGCGCCTTCCGTCTGACCCGCGCAAGGTCCCCGAACGGCCACGGTCATCCGGGGAGTCGTGCGGCGCCCGCCCGCCCCCGGCCCCGCGCGTCGGCCCTCGCAGCCCCCCTCACGCCCCACCGAGGAGCGCGGCCGGAGCGGCGACACCTGGGCCTGCGCTTCCCGCTCGTGTGTGGTGACCGCGTGGCCTAACGGATAAGGCGTCTGACTTCGGATCAGAAGATTGAGGGTTCGAGTCCCTTCGTGGTCGGTTCACCTTTTGGGCACCGCCACCGTTCCCTGTCTAACCCCTCTGAACAATCGCGTGTTGTTCCCCAACACCTGGTCCTCGCTCCCCTGTCCTGTTCCTCCTAAATGTTCCGGATCCCTTTACTCTGGTCGGTCTACCACAGGCTGTCAGTTCTCCTTTGTCATTCCCCAGTGGTCTAATGGATAAGGCACTGGCCTCCTAAGCCAGGGATTGTGGGTTCGTAGTCCCACCTGGGGTGACTGGGTTTTTGCGTGTCCGCAAGCAGGTTCTGTGGATTGTGCAGGAATTTGAGGGAACACACCAGGGGCTAAACTGACCGTAAGGATGAAGGAGCGTCAGTCTCATTGGGGTCTAATGCGCAGGTCAGAGTATAGAACACACCAACACCCACGGGAGCTGAGCCAAAATTGTGACTCTTTCATCCTCAAAAATACGTGACTCCTCTACCCCAGGTGGGACTCGAACCCACAATCCCTGGCTTAGGAGGCCAGTGCCTTATCCATTAGGCCACTGGGGCTGGTGGCGTGGGCCTTGTCCCTCCTCTCCCCTAATAGGCACCAGGCTGGCCTCCGGAGCGGGCCTGCCCGACGCGCCAGGCAGCAGGGTGCACGCGGTGAGCTGCGGGGCTGATCCCAGCGGAGCCGCGCCGTCCAGGATGCACCCACCCGACACCGCTGCACCTCGCCACCGGGGGTGCGCGGAGACTTAGGCCTTCCCTTGCTGTCCTCCTGAGTCAGCACGCCCACGCCCGTGCAGCACACCGCGAGAGGGATCCCAGGATTCTAGGAAAGCGTAGTTCTGGGCCCCACATAAGGGTACGGGAAAGCTCTGCATCTGCGCACGCGCAGCAAGAACCGCTCCTCCCACAAATCACATGTTCCTGCGTCCAATCCTGCAAACACATAGCAAGAAAAACTGCCAAACTGATAATTCACCTTAAAAAATGTTCACCTTTAGCATGATTAAGACACAATAGAGGAAATGTTAAGAAATTGACCTTAAAGTTTTTAAGATTTTTAAATTTATTTTTTTTTAAAGATTTATTTTTATTATTTTTATTGGAAAGGCGGATATACAGAGAGGAGAGACAGAGAGGAAGATCTTCCGTCCGATGATTCACTCCCCAAGTGAGCGCAATGGCCGATGCTATGCCGATCCGAAGCCAGGAGCCTCCTCCGGGTCTCCCACACTGGTGCAGGGTCCCAAAGCTTTCCCCGACCACACAGGCAGGGATCCCGGGGCGTGCAAGGCAAGGACCTTTAACCACTGCGCCAGGTCCTAAAATTTATTTTTTACAATTGTATCTTTATTTGAAAGAGAGGGAGAGTGAGTGGATTATCTTCCATCTGCTGATTCATTTTCCAAATGGCCGTAATGGCCAGGTCTACGCCAGGCCAAAGCAGGAGTGCCACAAGGGTGCTAGGCACTCAGCACTTGGGCCATCTGCTGCTGCTTTCTCAGGTGCCAGCTGTCGGAGTAGAGCAGCTGGGACCGCAGTGGGTTGCTGGTCTTGCACACAGCAGCTGATGCCTTCTGTACAAGGAAGTCCCCTGTTCCTCCTGTTAAACACGTTTAAAATTTGTTACTTTTTTCCCAAAGATTCATTCATTTTTACTGAAAGGCAGATTTACATAGAGAGCAAGAGAAACAGAGAAAGATCTTCCATCTGCTGGTTCACTTCCCAAATGGCCACAATGACCACGGCTGAACTGATGCAAAGCCAGGCTAGGAGCTGCTTCCGGGTCTCCCACGTGGGTGCAGAGTCCCAAGGCTTTGGGCCATCCTCTCCTACGTTCCCAGACCACAAGCAGGGAGCGGGATGGGAAGTGGGGCTGCCAGGACATCAACTGGCACTTGCCTGGCACTGGATCCTGGCACTTGCCTGGTGATGGGTTAGCACTACAACACATGCACTCATTCCAGGTTGTGCCTGTGTGGAAACCCCACCCACCCACTCCTGGCAGTGCAGGTCATAGGGACATGGAGACGCTGTGTCCACTTCCTCCCTGGACTGCTGGTCACAAGGGATAGTTGAACTCACCTGGCTCCAATCTCCTGCGTCCCCTCCAGTGTGTGCATTAGTGTGTGGCTGGCAGGCAGAGGAGTGTAGACACAGGTCAGGTCCTAACAGCTGTATGTTCATGTGACATCCCTGTGCCCCCTCCCAGGCAGGAACCACCTCCCCTTGTAAACCCCAAGCCTTGCTTCTCACTGCAAAGTGCTCTGACCTGGCCTTAACCCCTGTGTAAGCAGAACTGTGGTCTGTGGTGGCTGGCATCTTTGTTGCCTTGCCCTATGGGAATTACCTGTGTTTGTTCATTCCATGACTCAGTCCCCTCTCGACCTCTCCAAATTTCTCTCACGCGGGGACCTTTGGGTGCATCCAGTGTCTCCTAGGGCCTGGGGCTCGACACTGCACACCTGGGTCCGCTCACAGGGACACCCAGCCTGCTGCCCTGCTTGCCCCATCTAACCAGGCTTCCTCTGTGGGGGTTCTCCTGGCTCCTCTCTGGGACAGCACTGCTCACAGGGCTGACTCCTCAGGGACCAGCCAAGCTACATTCACCCAGCACACCTGCCCAACTCGCTGCCCTCGGCAACTTCAGTGTCTGCAGCGTGTCCCCATCAGAACCCTGCTCCCACACCCTCCAGGCCCATCTCTGCCCCATCGTCCTCTGACCTTTCCCCTCCATCCCCATTTCCCAGACAAGGCATTGACTCCGCACAGGGGACACTTGGCCCCAGCTATGTCCACCTCGCTGCAGGCTTTCCATGCTCTACCCTGGGCAGACCCATCTCCCTGACAGGCTCCTTAAGGGCCCGAATGTCCTGGGGTGGCCACCTCCTGTCCTCACTGGGACTCATCCCAGCCACAGTAAGTGCTTCTCTGCCCCTCTGCCTGGCACCTGCCACTTCCGTGTCTTCTACAATCCAGTTTGTTTACAACAACAGCTCATTTTTCTTGGCTTTCATCACTGCCTGTCGGTTCTCTGGAACGAACCCTATGTTAACTGCCGATCCCTTGACCCAGTGTTTGGCATCCAAGAACTGCTTGTTGCATGACTGAATAAATGAACGACCCTTGCACTCCCTGCCTAGGAGCCACAGCTGTTCCTGGCTCTGAGTACCCGAGGACAGGGGTCCTGTCTTCCGGCTCCTTTGTATTTTGCAACCATCCCCAATCGACTTTCCTTCCTTGTCTGAGCTCACACGCAGGCCAAGGGGCTGGCTTGCATGAAGGGCACATCCCAGCACAACCGACTATACAAAAAAGCATGCAGCCGAGATTTGCAAGAGAATTGGGACCAAGGCAGCGTGGAACATTCTAAGAAGTTATGGCAACCCGGGCTCTCCCCAACACCCACTGGGCAATTTCTCTCCTGTCCCAGCTTGCCCTTCCTGCCTGTAAACCCCCGCCCAGTACACGCCACCCCCACATATTCCTTCCCGCGGCCAGCTCCACAGCTGCCCCACCATCACCTATTGGTGTGAGGTCTCAAGACTCAGCCCCTCACTACCTGCCCATAAGTCTGCAGGCTTCCTGGCCGCCTCCGGCAGCCCAGCCCCTAAATGGCCAGTCTTCCTCCCTGTTTTCCAGGACCCACCCAGCTTAGATAGCCACTCCCCTGTCAGCCTTCCTGCCCGACTATGTCTTCCTTAGGGGGCAGATGCTAGAACCTTCTCTCGTCTCACTTGCCTTGTCTCACAGTCAGTACTGAAGCGGTCTCTGTGAGGTAGTCGTCAGTGGAGAGGAAAGGCAGGGATTCTGTTCTGGAACATTCTGAATGAGGTGGGAGGCCTGCTGGGTTAGAATTTTATTGTAGCTGATACATGAAGAGGATGGTTAAGGCTGGACAACACGGTGAGGGCCAGTAGAGACCCCTGTACCCATCTGGGGCTCTGAGCCCCACAGCACAGGCGATGGCGCCAAGGTCACAGAGGCACCTGGTCAGCAGAAAAGGGAAAGCTCTCCAGGTGGACTCAGTCCGGGCGGCACTCCTGGCAGGCTGCCCAGGGCACAGTTTCAGTCCATCTCCACCTTCCGGCTGGTCTTCAGTACAGAATGCACCTTCTTTTGTCTCAGCCTCTCCCGGTTCCTGTTTTCTATCCTGAAAATGAAATGACTGCAGTTAGCCCCAACACTCAGTGCCTCTCAAAGTGGCAATAGGGCCAAAAACTCAGTGAGAGCTCAGGGGGGCAGCCAAACTGGCAGGTGCGCCCCCACTACACCCTGCGCCAGAGCCCCTCCCCGCCTGCCTCTCCTGCCGCCTGTGAGCTGGGAGGTTCCGCCTCTACGCCTGCTCTTTGGGGGGGCCTGTTCCACCTCTCGTATGCACATAAATCCACTGGCAGAGGTGTGGGGGCTTTTCCTGGTACCTCATTTTCCACAGCTGAGCGTCCTCCTGGGACGGCTCCTTGGGCATCTGGCTGGCCTCGGCAATCATGTCTCGAATTTTCTGTAGGCAGTCTGCCAGATTGCGGAACTGGTAACGGCTGCTCTCCGAGGTGAGGATCAACTCCCCAGACCTGTTGATCTTATTTTTGTGCTGCAGAGAACAGAGTGCAGGAAAAAAGAAAAAAGAAAGCAGCGTCCCACAGACTGAAGGTTGACTGGCCACCAAGGATTGTGCAGCGCAAAAGGGGCAGGCAGGGCGGTTACCATGACGGCCATCTTGTGCCGCACCGGCTCGGCGATCCAGTCAGCGGTGGCCAGATGGAACCTGACTTCGGCCTTGGAGTTGACTGTGGGTGAAAAGGAGAGGTGTCGGGGTGCCCAGGGGCTCTCGGGAAAGTTGAGCATGTGACTAAAATGAAGGGAGGTCATCCCTGTAGCCCGTGACAGTAGAAGGCCCTTTGGACAGCCCTAGGCTTCGGTCATGTCCCAGGGCCTTGCTGACGGGTTCCAAGGAGTGCGTGCTGCCCACCCGGGCAGCTGTCCCCAACCCCTGCCTCACTCTGCGTTCTCTTTGTTTGGCACCACAAGACAAACCCAGCGATAACCACGCACAGCTGAGAGCTCGAGGCAGCCACGTCCAGAGAATAAAGAGGATTATTATAAGCCTGTGGTGTTCCGGTAGCTGCTGAAGGCTCCCTTTATTCCCCAGAAGTGTAAACAAAGAGGCGCTCGCGGGGCCGGCCCCTCCGCAAGCAGGCGGAAGCAGACGGCACCGGTACCTTTGTTAACGTTCTGCCCTCCGGGCCCACTGCTCCGACTGTAGGATATTGTCAAGCGATCTGCAAAATGTAAGAATACATGCCACGTGAGACCGCCTGTGCTGTGGCCAAATGTGCAAACTGCCCCCATGCTGCCCAGCTGGGCGGCTGCAGCTGGCTGGCGTCTGCCCAGGACAGGACGCCTGGACCCTCCTGGAACACGGGAGCCTGGAGACCATGTGGGGAGGAGCGGTGCTGCTTGAGTGGCGGATGGACCGGCATTCTTCTTCACCTCCAGTCGTGCTGAGAAGTGCGGCCTTCCGCCTCGTCCATGCCCACACCCGAGGGCACACTGCAAACTGTACAAGGCTTCCGCAGCAGCAGCCTTGGCTCCTGGCCCTGGCGGGGGTTACCCATGCCGTAGCCATCTGGTGTCTAGGGCCACAAGCGGCTGGCCCCCGGGGGCTGCCCTTCCTCCTACCCTCTAGGAGGACTCATAAACTCAGAATCTCCAAATGAGCACATGGTTCTCTCTAGGCCACACCCATTAGGCCCTGCCTGTGCTGGACAGGCAACCACTTCTAAAGTTACACAAATGGGGCCTGCTTGGAAAGCTGGCATCTCCAATGGCAGGGCTGGTTTAAATGCTGGCTGTTTTGCTTTCACTCCAGGGCCCTGCTAAGGCACCTGGAAGGTGGCAGAAGATGGCCCAAGTGTTTGGGTCCTAGCCACCCATGTGGAAGACCTGGATGAAGTTTCCACCCCTGGCTTCAGCCTGGCCCAGACCTAGCTGCAGTGGCATTTGGGAATCAAAGTGATACAAATGGGTTACATGTCTCATGCCTGTCCCCCCCAGCTACCAAGTACCTCTCTGTCCCCTGAGGCAGTCAGGGCATGCCTGGGGGCAGGGGTGAGGTTCTGTCCACCCATTCAGACCCGCAGACAGAGCTGAGGCCTTCAGCTCTGGGCTGTCAAAGGTAAACTCTCCTACGCCTTTCCCACTCATGTGCCCAGCTAGTGTTGAGGCTGCCTGGCAAGAGCTCTTGCCATGCATATGGCACCCCAGGAGCAGGGGCACCTTCATTGGGTGGCCAGTCCAAACCATGCTACAGAGGCTCTGCTTTGTAAGTACAGGCCCAACGTGGGGAGAGACAGAGAGGAACATCTTCTGTTGATTCACTCCCTAAGAAACCGCCAACAGCCAGAGCTGTGGTGATCTGAAGCCAGGAGCCTCTTCAGAGTCTCCCACGTGGGTGCAGGGTCCCAAGGCTTAAGGCCATCCTTGACTGTTTCCCCAGGCAACAAGCAGGGAGCTGAATGGGAAGCGGGGCTGCCAGGATTAGAACTGGTGCCCATATGGGATCCTGATGCATTCAAGGCCATTGTGCCAGGCCCCGCTTTTTTCTTTTTAAATTAAAAAAAAAAAATTAATCTTTTTCCTGTTTGAAAGGCTGAAAAGCAGAGAAAGAGAGAGAATGGGCGAACTATCTCCCGTTTGTTTCCACAAACATCCACAACAGCTGGGGCCGGGTGAGGCTGAAGCCAGGAACAGGAACTCGAGCTCAATCTCCCACGTGGGTGACGGGGCCCCCCACTACTTAGTCATCCGCTGCTGCCTTCAGGGGAAGCTAGAATCAGCAGTGAAGCTGAGATTCTCTGAATTGGGTGAGGGCAGACCAGGCAGCACCTGTGCCCAACACCAGCCCCTGGCGGATTCTGATGAAAACACACTTACCCACAGGGATGTCGTTGCCAGCTTGCTTGGCATCATCCTACGAGAGAGCACATGGGATCAAAGCAGGGTCAGATCAGCCTCACCTGCTGTGTGCGACCCCCTGCTGGCCCAGGGCAACACAGGAAATCATATCACATGTGTCCCAAGCAATATCAATCCATCGGGATGACAGAGAGGGCAACTCCCATAGACGCGCCCCTTCAGGACCACACCCCTGGGCAGCACTCAAAGCCTGCATGTCCCTGAAAGCCTTCCCTCCTTCCCATCCCTGACTATCCCTGGAACACTTTGGTGGTCTATGCTCACGATACCGGGCTGGTTTAAACTCACAGATGAGGAAGCCAGACAGAAGCCTGTGGGGGCAGGGAGGGAGGGGCCGAGGAAGTCCCTGCAGAAAACGGCAGCACCCCAGTATCTGACACTCCCAGTTCCTGCCCAGGGACAGTGCACCCCAGGGACTGCAGAGGTCTTAGCTTTCCTCCAAGGCAACCACCCCACAAGAATCCTCTCTGTCCAGCACCCTATGGTGCACCAATCTGAGTTCACCGGGTCATCAAACCTTAGGAGGAATTTCAGCTGCTTCACCTCTAGCAAGCCCTTTGTCCAAGACAGAAGGAGTTGGAGGGGGGGCGAACCTGCAAGAAGAAATGTGCGGACCCCCGTTCCTCCCCCAGCCCCTTGCCTGCTCGGCTGGGTGCTGAGATCCCTGCCTGGCTTAGCAGGCGTGGTTCTCCCTTAGCCTTGCTACCTGACTTGTCTGAACAACTATCCCACTTGGCTAACAACACCTGTTTCCTCAACTCCATACCGGTAGATGCATCTGCTGTACCCTGTCCCCTCTTGGCCACCCAGCAACGGACTCCCCACCCCAAAGGGGCCCGAAGAATCCCTGAGCACTTTCCCTCCAGGCGCCCCAGCCCCTCTCCATCCCTGGCTGCGTCACACTGGCACAACAGGTAACGATGCTGGTTATGCCAAATCTTTCTCGTACTTTGCCACTTTCTCATCTCAGTTAACGCTAATTCCATCTTTCTTCGCTCAAGGTCACAGACTTCAACGCCTCTCTTATTCTCAACTCCTCATACCCATTAAGTAAATTGGGCAAGTGTAAAAACAAACAAAACAAAACAAAACTGCACCGAGGATCTGCCCGGGCTGTGGTCTCAGTTCTTCCAGGTCTTCACTCACCACACGTCACTTTCTCCCCGAGGCCTCACTACCTCTGATTCTCGCCCAATTACCATCCCACACATTCTGGGTTCTTTATTTTGGGCCGGCTTCCCTGCACTTGAATACGAGCTCCGCAAGCAATAAGAGCTTCGTTTTCCTAGCTGCTGTATCCCCTCACAGCGTAAGCTTGTCGATGGGGGGCCATGGGGCTGGCACTGTGCGCCTGGGGAGGACCAGAACGGAGGCCTCCAATTTTCTGGACGTGGCAAGTCGGCCCAAAGGGCGGCCGCCGGTCTCCAGCCACGCCGGGCAGCCCTCCCCACCGCGACCGCCACGTCCACGCGCGGCGGGGCCCTCGACGTGGCTCCATGGCTTCCGGCCATCACCTAGCAACAGCGGGCGGACCCGCCCCTTCCGCCCTGCCCGTCCCGGCTCACCGGGATCCTCCAAGCGGTGTCCGAGCCCTGAGATTCAGGGTAGAGCTTGTCTAGGCTGTAGATGCTCTTGAATTCGGTGCCGTCTGCTTGCTTGTGCAGAGCCCGGTGCGGACAACGCACGGACGGCGAGAGCAGCCAGGCTCCCGCTCGGCTCAGGCCCCAGCGGAGGCAGCCGGCGGACGCCATGTTCGGGTCTCGGGGCCACTTCCGGCTGGCGCGGGGGCTCGCGGTCCGTAAGCTCGCATTGCTGGAGGCACTTTGGTTCCGCGCTGTTACTGGTCCCCGGCGAAGGAGTCCTGGCAACGTTCCCTAGTCCTGCCTGGTCATTAGCCGGGGAGCAAACAAAAAAGAAAACTCGGATGCTGTGTCTCTCCCAAAACACATCTCACTTTCAGAGAATCCGTTCCTTCCAACTCCATGCCCGGATCATCTGCCTGCCCCTGGTTCCTGCCCCTGTATCCTGCTCAACTTAACCTGTTTTCTCCTCATTACTCAGGGTTATCCTGATGCAGTTGCCTGCCTCCTGGTCACAGGCGGCACCAGCTTGATGCCTGTATCTGACACTGGAAGATTGGCCAGGTCGGGTGGGATTGAGAGGCTGGCACCAATATTCATAAAATGTGTCTTTGTTTTGGGAAGTGGGGCTCTGGTAGGGAACTGCAGGCTGTGCCTTTCCCCCAAGCAGCCTATAGGTAAATTTCTCTTATAGGAACTGTGGAGCTGAGAGGTCAGGGGCTGTGGCCAAAAGGCACTGCGGACCAGGGGAGCAGCGGTTCCAGGAGGGAGAGTAACCATCAATCAGGATAGCGTCCTTAATGAGTTCTATTTTAGGAAAAAGCATAATTACCTAGAGCAGCGGGGCCCTGGAGGAAGCCAGCTGAGGGAAACAGACCTGTCATCAGTTCCTGCCTGCACCACCCCTGTCTCAGTGAGCTGCCGTGGAATTCTGGGGGTGGAGGAGGGGAAACAGCCACTTTCCAGACATCCGCTAAGCCCAAACTGGGAAAGGGTACTGCCGGCCTTCTCCACTGGCTCTCGGCTAGGAAAGAGAGTCCCCTGGGTGCCTGGTTGTCCTCTCTCCATCCTGAGACCTCAGAGGGGCACGCAGCATCTCCATGGCGACTGGAGTAAGCTGCTCTGGGGAGCAAAGCCTGGCAGGCACTCAGGTCAAGGGCTGCGAGCTCAGAAATAATAAAGTCGGGACTAGTCCCTGGCGTTGTCAGGCTGCACTTCACCCAGGGGATAGGAAAAGAAAGCTGCAGGTTTCCAAGGCTCCAAATGAAACAGCCTGCCCAGGCCATCTGGTGGCCTGGATTGGGGGAGAGGAGTGTAGGGAGAGGGGAGAGGGAGCTGGAGAGGGGATGACCCGCAGGCTGCTCTCACCTACTGCAGACGGGCTGCCTGCTCCCCTAAAAAGGGGGACACTGAAGTCAGCTGCCTTTGCCAAGCAAGAACATTGGCGGGGAGGGCAGGAGGAAGGGGAAGGGAGGAATGAAAGAGCTTGTGGATAGGCAGAACTGCCCTTTCTTAGACAGCCGCCATGAGCTGGAGACGTGCTGGTGGCCTGGCTGAGTGAGATTCTGTGACTTGAGTTAGAAACCCCTAGGACCCTACTTCTTGGGGATGAGCCGCTTGCTGAGGGCGTCTGCTTCGAGTCCCCGTGACACGCGAGCATTCTCTGTTTCTCTCCGCAGCCCTAGGTGGGCAGTTGACCAGCTCCATTCCAGACCTTTTTTCTCACCTTTCTCTAAGGGGATGGCAGCACCAGTCAGGAGGCCAAGCTAGCTGTAACTTTCTGAAAGGTATCCCCGTTGCACCCCATCCCCTTAGGTGCCCAGTGCCCTGAAGACACAGCCCTGGGGAGAGGGGGAGGAAGAGCTCTTAGCCTCCAGGGATTGTGGGGTGGACAAAGTGTGCTGGTTGATTCTCTTCACCCCAGTGTCTGTGACTTCGGCCTTGAGGGTGGAGGGGCAGGTGACCGAGAAAGCCCAGCTGGGTGAGGACAGTATGATGGGGCTGGTAGAAGAGGCAGCTTGGCAGCTGAGGAGGCAGGTGGCTGGAGGACTGGTCATGGACAGCATTGCTCTCCAGCTCACAGGATACAGATCACAACAGAGCGGGAACACCACCCCCTTACAAAGGCCATTGGTGGAGGCTGGCTTTCCCCTAAGCCTATGCCCAGGGGCAGATGGAGCACAGAGGCTGCCCCAGCCCCATGGTGGACTCTCCCTTCAAGGCCAGGATGGAGCCAGGTGGTCTCCTCCAGGAATCCCCACTCCCACTACAAACTGTGGGGGAGGTGGCCTCTCTCGTGGAAGGGCTGGGTTCTGAGGGTCTCCAAGGATCTGGAAGAGAGGCGTGCGGTTCCTGCTTGGAAGCACCGAGAGCTGGCTCTTTTGTCATTTGGGGGCGAAAGGCTCACCTGTGTCTCCAGCAGGTGGGTCCCTCTCCCTCCCTCAGGGTCTCAGTAGCTGGGCTGGATCCCATTACTGTCCCTTCCTCTACTATTCACCCTCCATGTAGCTGCCCAGAAGACCAACACTGTTCCAGAGTGCCCTGTAGTGGCTTCTTACACTTTGGAGACCTCCCGCTGAGTCTTTGGGGTCATGGCTGGGTTCTTACACCAGTGGGAGCTGCTCCCGCCAGGGTTTCCCCCTTGACCTGCCACTCGTGAACACTATCCACTCCCAGCCCCAGGAACGGCTTGGTCCAGACATGCTTTCCTTCCCTCGCCACCCTCAGCGCCCCATCAGCACTGGGCATCTGTAAGGTGGTTCAGAACTCGCCTCCCCTTTCCGTGGCACCACCTTTGGCTTCATTGTTTTTCAAGGTGGTTACTGTTTGGAGGGGCCTCCCAGGACCCCCCTCCCATGTTGTAACCTAAGCTCCAAGAGAGTGGGGGTCCTGTCTGCTGCACTCAATGCAGCATTCCCAGCCCCACTGGTGTAGCTGGCACACAAGACTCCTCCTAGCACCTCCTAGCATTTGGAGCTGTCTGGTACCACTGCCAGGGAAGTGAGGAGAGAGACACTGAGAACCCAGGCCTGAGCAGCCTCAGCATGATGTGGAGAGCCACGGAAGTGGACCCAGGACCCCCTGGCCTCCCGGCAGGTGCATGGGAAGCAAGGCAGTCAGACAAAATACACAGAAGCCATTTCTGCTTTTAGAAGACTGGTGCGTTTTTTTTATTAAAGAAGAGAATAAAGCATTTGTAAATATATCTCTCATGTATACTTTAACAGTGATGCTACTCAGTGGTTGCTACAGAACCGGGGAGCCAATGGACCGGAACTCTTCCCCATTCCCTCTCCGACGGAGACATGGGGGGAAGGCCAGGAGCTCTCCTTCCCTCAGCGACAAAACGTCCAATGGATCTGAGCCAAGTGCCAGCTCACATCACAGTGCCTCCTGGAGGGGCAGGTTGGTAGCTCCAGGGAGGTCGGGCATGCGTGTTGGGAAGACCCCATTATCCATTAGAAATAAATAAGGCATGAAGTTTCCCAGTGGGGTCTGCTGCTCTTGAGGGCCACTGTGGGGCTCTTGTGACCCTCAGGGCTTCAGGAAAGGCAGCCAAAGAACTGGGAGCCCCGAAGGATGGCCCAGGGCATCTTCTAGTTGAAGCTTCACTCTGTGACACCTTAAACCAAAGATGGAACCCTGGACTCTCTTAGGTCCTCAAAACACCCCACACACAGGACAGGAAGGCAGGAAACATGGTCTTTGCCTGCCTCGCTGTCCTAATTCAATGCAGAGTGGGGATCTTGGGCAGTCTCCAGTGAAGGGGGGTCAAGGGTGGACACTGGGCCCGCTGGCTGGTGGCATCTGCCCAGAACGACATCCTGGAGCTGGGACCTGTGCCAGGGTGGGCCTGTGGGGAGTGTGGAGTGAATGAGACGTCATGGTCCCTGAGATGGGGAGCAGGTGCAGAGTAGGAGGCAGAGGCAGAGTGCAGACCAGCGGGGGCTCCCCACACCAGGCCCCCCAGAAGGCTTATTGCCCAGAAGGTGTTTCTGGGGCAAGTCTGGTCCGGGCCTGGCCCCAAGACTCCATCCTCTGATTGGCTACAGATCTGTGGTGGGCGGAGGGTCCTGGACAAGAAAGGGGATGGCAGCCAAGGGGGACCTGCTCAAGCCCCTGGGGCGAGCAGTTGGCACTAGGGGACTGGTGGTGAGGCATGCCTGGTAAGAAGCAGTGGGGTGGTCCCAGAGAGCCCAGAACCTGCCATGGCCGGCTCTGAGGACACTTTCAAGTGTTTCCAGTTGTAGCAAGGGGTCAATGAGAAACCTTGCCTTGGGAATCTCAGAAAAACTGAAATTTGGAAAGAAAAAAGAGCCAACCAAGACAGAATGGCTTTAGAAGCTGGGCCCACACCCCATCTCAGGGGGAGATCCAGGGTCAGGAAGCCAGAGCAAGGGGAGCTTGGGAGTCCCCTCTGCCCCCTCCTGCCCCGCCACCCAGGGTGGGGGAGGAAGGGGGACATTTGGCTTTGAAATTGAACAGGGTCATCCGAGGCAGAGCAGGCTGGCCAGCTCCACATGGAGGTGGCTCCAGACAATATGGCCACCAACTCTCATATATTGCTCTCTCTCTTTCTGGAGGCAGCAGGAGGCCCATAGTGGGGGTGGGGAAGGAGGAGGGAGGGTCACTTGGTGCTCTGAGTCTTGAGTTTGGTGGCATTGATGTCCGCCTTGGTTTTCTGGATCCTGGAGAAGATCTCCTTGAAAAGCGCCTTGTACTCAGGTTGGCTCTGCTCCAGCCGCTTGTCCACTGCCTCCACGTGCTGGCTCAGGCTCTTCTCGCCGGCCTTGGCCTCCCCAAGGCCCTCCTCACTCCCGAGCAGGTCCCTCCACGAGCTGTCCCGGGAGATGGGTCGCGAGGTCTGCACGCCGGTATGCCGCACCCCAGCCCCGTGCTGCCGGCACTTGCTCAGCAGCTCCTCGTACTTCTCCAGGAGAGCGTGGTACTGCTCGTCCACCTCGCGCAGGATGGACATGCCGCGTTTACGCACGCTGTGGGCGTGCAGCGTCAGGTTGCCCACGTGCCGGCTGGCTGGGTCTTTGGCCACAATGGCGTTGAGTGCCGTGTCACTGCAGCTCTTGCGCACGGCGTGACCTGGCGTCGGTGGTGACGACGAGACACCATCCTGGATGCCCGAGTCGTCCTCGCTGCCCAGCTGAGGGTCGTCCGCCTCAGGGGCCTGGGTGAGGGGTGCGAGCAGGGCCTCGGCCAGGTGGTCCTCCCGGCCCAGCAGGTAGGTCTTGGCTTGCTTCATCTGCTGCAGCTCCAGCAGCTCGGCCTCCAGCTCCTGCACGCGCAGGCGGCAGCTCTCCATGTCGCCCAGCTGCCGCTCGAGCTCTGCATACTCGTGCAGAACGGCCGTGTACTCGCGCTCCGCCCGCTCCTTGCGCTGCCGTTCCTGGCTCACCTGCGACCGCAGCACCCCGACCAAGGTCTGCAGCTGCTTGTTCTCCTGCTCCAGGGGCCGCGGGCCTAGCTCCAGGGAGGAGCTGTGCAGGCGGATGGCATCTTCACACCTGGGGCGCCGTGGCAGAGGGCAGAGGTCATGGCCTCTGATAGGCTGCATCTCTCTTGTCCTCTGTCTGCCCCTCTCCAGATGCCCGCTTTACTCTAGGGCCCAGTGAGCCCTAGATTAGGCCAGTGAGCACAGGTGGTCTTGGCCAGGGTCTTACACATGTAGCAGCTGAGCCCAGAAATGGGAGGTGCAGGCAAGAAGCTCCAGGTGGGAGCGAGGGGGAGGAGGGGTGCATCGTGCATGCCTCCCTCCCCAACTCCTTACTGGTTAGTGTTGTCTGGAAAGCCCCCTCTTTCCCTTCTAAGCATCCATCACTTCCCTGCCCTGACCCCTTGCAGCCCAGGTAGTAGCTGTTCTCTTTGGTTGCAACCCTGTGTACCAGGTGGCTTCCCTATGCCTTGCCCTCTAACCTCCCTGCCAGTTAAACTGGGTGGGAAACTGCTTCTTATAGGAGCGTTGGTTCAATTCCGGGTTGCTCTGTAGTTTCAATCCAGCTTCCTGCTAATGTGCCTGGGAGGTAGCAGCAGATGGCCAAGTGCTTGGGTTTCAACCCCATGTGGGAGATCCGGGGGAAGCTCCTGGCCCCTTGCTTTAACGTGGCCCAGCCTGGGCTGTTGTGAATATTTAGGGAGTGAACCAGCACACAGATTTTCCATCTGCTGGTTCACTCCCCAAATAACTGCAATGCCTGGAGCTGGGCAGGTCCAGAGCCAGGAGTCGGGAGCCCTGCCATGGGACCATCTTCCACTGCCTTCCCAGGTGTATCCACAGGAAGCTGGATCAGGATGATGGCGCCGCCAGTGATGGCTTTTACCTGGTATGCCACAGTGCCAGTCCCAACTAAATCTTTAAAAAAATAAAAGGAAAAGGTGACCTCGGCTAAGACACCCTTGGAGCCTCACCTGAGACATGGACATGATAGAACACACCTCTGGGTACCACATGAGAATGACATCAGCAGAGTGGTATAAACACCAGTGCTGAGGCCGTTGCTAGAACAGTCCCTCTCCTAGCCTGGACTGTGCACTGACTCTAGTTCCCTCCTGCTGCCCGCTCACTCCTTCCTTCCTAGCTGCCTGCTGCCCACCCACGCCCTCCTCCCTGGCCGCTGGGACCTACCTGGGACTGGTGCAGAGCTCCTTGAAGCAGGGGAAGGTGTGGATGGTACGCCTGCGCTCCCGCTTCTCCTGGCGTACCCGCAGCTGCTCCAGGTCCCGCAGCTGCTCCACCTGGGCCTGCAGCTCCTCCACCTGAGCCTGCAGCTCCTCCACCTGGGCCTGCAGGCGCTCGATGGTCTCCGTCAGCCTGAGGATGGGAATGGGGATAGGGGAACACACGTGGGAGGAGGTACCAGGAGACAGGGCCAGCCCTCCTCCCTGAAGCTCTGGCTCTAAGTCGCACTGCCTGGGGCTGAAGCCACATGGACACGCCCTGCCAGCCCCAGGACCCATCTCATCCCAGACCTCCCTAGCTGAGCTGGTCACTCCTCCTGGGCCACCCAGCCCCTTGAGTACTGCTCTACCACAGCTCGTCCCGTGCTGCAGTAAAACCTGCATGGTGGCCTCCCCCCGCCTCAGACTGCAGTGTGTGTGTCCTCATTATATCACCAGCACCCCAAACTCAGCCTGCTATGCTGGTGCTAACCTAAGGGTTGTGGGGGGCCAGTACTGTCGTGCAGTGGGTTAAGCTGCTAACCGCAATGTCAGTGTCCCACAGGAGTGCCATGTTCTAATCTCAGCTGAGCAAATTCCAAACCAACTCCCTGCTCGTGTGCTTAGGAAAAACAGAGGACGGTGGCCCCAGCGTTTGGGCCTCCACACTCATGAGGGAGACCCGGACAGAGTTCCAGGCTCCTGGTTTCCGCCCAGCCCAGCTCTGGCCAACAGAACCATTTGGGGAGTGAGCCAAGCACATGGAAGACCTCTCTCTTTAACTCTGCCATTCAACTAAATAAATAAAAGTTTAGGAGCAACAAAGTAGAACAGGGGTGGTGGGCTGGGTGTTGGGCGCAATGGGGAGGGTGGTACCATCTCGGGTACTTGCAGCAGTGTGCAGGTCACCCCACTCCCGCCTGGCCGTCGTGCACACGCCCCCTGCCCTGCCCGCAGCCTGGCCCTTACCCGTGGATCTTCTGCTGGGCAGCCTTACTCTCCACCACCAGCTTCTGGTTGTTCAGCTCCAGGTCCCGCGCAGTGACATCCAGCTGCTCATACACTTTGGCGTGCTGTTCGTTGACGTGCCTCAGTGTATCCAGCTGCTTGGTCAGGTACTGGGGGTGGGGAAGGGGGTAGGGTGAGGTTTCTGTACCCTTTGCAGTGGGGGAGGGGGCTTATGTCTTCCCCTACCACCTTTTTAAATTTTGAATTTTATCATACAATTCTGTATAGTCTGGGATTCCCCTGCTCCCAATCTACCCTCCAGACTGATTTTTCCCATATTGTCACATTTCTTCATAAGGAGTTACAATGCCATCAGTCTGCTACTGAGGTGTGCCCCGACATTGCTGGTACAGACAATGTCAGACAATCCATCATCCCATTGTCTAGATATGTCCAACACTTTTTTTGTCCAACATTTTCACTGGGAGTCCATCTTTTGTTGGGAAATAGGGATGCATGCTGCATTGTGTCTTCACATCTGGACCCCCAGCACCTTTAAGGACAGGTTTGCCTTGAGGAATGTTCTTGTTTTTGAAGTGCCCTCGGTGGTACGATCGGGTCGCCTGGGACAGTTGTGCAGGCTGTGCAGTGCATGCGGCTGCTGGGACCCGGGACGCCTCACCTCAATCTCCTGCACCTGCTCTTCGTTGGTGGCGTACATCTGCTGCAGAGATTCCTCCAGCTCCTTGTTCCTCTCCAGCAGGGTCTTCCCCAGCTCTGCAGCCAGGTGTAAGTCTGCAGGGGGAGGGTGCGGAAAGCCCGGTTACTGCTCCAAGTCCTCATTCTGTCTGGGCGCCTCAGTGATCCCACCAACACGGAGACCCCGGGGCAGCTCTGGGAATTCAGTCTTGGCATGGCCAGCTTTTCTGTTTGAACCCTCCCAGCATTCACTTCCTTGCCTCCATCAAATCTGTGCTCAAGAGCTACCCTCTCTGGGCTGGTGCTATGGCATAGCAAGGTAAGCCACCACCTGTGATGCCGGCATCCCTTGTGGGCAATGGTTCAAGTCCTGGCTGCTGCACTTCTGATCCAGCTCCATGCTGATGTGCCTGAGAGAGCAGTGAAAGATCCCCAAGTCCTCTGGCCCGTGCCACCCACAAGAAAGATCTGGTCCAGCCCTGGGCCACTTTGGTCATATGGAGAGTGATCCAGAAAAAGGAAAATCTCTGTTAATCTGTCTTTCAAATAAATAAATGAATCTTTAAAAAAAGAAGAAGAACTTAAAATGATACCTTCTATATCATCTTAGATCCATCCCCAGGAATTGTAAGGAGAAATGAATGGGGCCTGAAATGGTTTTGAAAGTATAATATCTCCTTGACCCTTCCCACCCTAATCGGTGGCCCACATGGGTATGAATCCTTCTCAATGATGTAAATATCATCAAAAATAAAATGAATTTATTATTTTAAAAAAGTAGGATGTCATTGCATTCAGGGAAATAAACCATGCTGTGTGTGAGAGAGAAGGGGCCTACTCGGGGAGGAGACACTGCAGAGAAAAGCACTGCAGGCATCCTGATAGCCTTGAGGTAAAAGGCAACATTCAGTGCCAAACCGGATCATGTTTCTTCACCCTTCGTGTCCTCCAGTGACAGACACAAGTGGTCTTCTGTGTCACACAGACCTCCAGGTGCAAAAGGGGGCTGGTGTCCCCCGGTAGAGCACCCTACTGAGTACAAGTCTCTAAGAAACCACCTCAAACAGTCCTTATTCCATTTATAGTTCAGATGTGGGGAAGGGGAGATCTAGAACGATTTCCAAATTCTTCTCTTTTAAAATCAGATTGCCTAGTGGCTAAAATAAGTCCTTGCCTTGCATGCGCAGGGATCCATATGGGTGCCAGTTTGTGCCCCGGCTGCTCCACTTCCCATCCAGCTCCCTGCTTGTGGCCTCAGAAAGCAGTGGAGGACGGCCCAAAGCCTTGGGACCCTGCACCCGTGTGGGAGACCCGGAAGAAGCTCCTGGTTCCTGGTTTTGGATCGGCTCAGCTCTGGCTGTTGCAGCCACTTGAAGAGTGAACCAGTGGCTGTAAGATCTTTCTGTTACTCCTTCTCTCTGTAAAATCTGCCTCTCAGATAAAAATAAATAAATCTTAAAAAAAAAAAAAGAACCCGAGACTGCTGTCAAGTTGGGCACATAAAACCTTCATGCACGTCACTACCTGTTTCCTTGGGACACTTACTGGAGGCTGACTCACCGTCAGATGCTGTGGATCCACCGCACCCGGACGCCTACAGGCAAACCCACCGGGTGGGGGAGGGCACACCAGCGGACCATCCAGAGATCCAGTTCTTAAAGAACTGGCTTTCCCTTTCAGGCCCTGGGAGGATAATTCTAAGGCCCCTGGCTGCCTGGTGGAGCTGGGGGCTGTCCCCTCAGGCTGGTTCTGGTCAGCAGGCCTCTTGGTGGGCAGACCTCCTGGTGGGCAGGCCCAGGCAGAGCCTCCCGGGCTTGCTTTCAGCCAAGCAGGAGGCAAGACTGACCCTGATGAAAGCTCAAAGCACCTGACCAGGCCTGGACCACAGGCCACACTGCCGGCCAAGAGCTGATCTGGCTCTGCCCTCACGCCCAGAGGTATTGGACCAGCCAGAGCCAGGGGAGGGTCCTGGGTCCAGGTGTCACCTGGACAGGGGGGTTGTGGTACAAAGATGCCCCTTAACCCCAAAGCGAGGATGCTACAAACCCAGGCTGGGCAGACAGAAACCACTTTCCCAACCCCTACCTTGGCCCCTAACTTGGAACCAACTCCAAGTTCAAAGCCAGAAATCACAGCCTTGAGCAATGAACTTGTCCAAGAGGGTGCCAAGAAAAACAAGTTACTGGACATACACTTGGTAAGGCAACGAGGCTGCTTGCTATAGGAACTGATTAACCTTAAGTTGGGACATGCATCCTGGGGGACTAGGGCTATGTGTGACACTGCGTGGGAGCCTGGCAGGCCCAGCTTGGGTTGTGATGACCTCACCAAATGGAGGCCTTTCTCTGGATCCCTGAACGTGTCAATAGGACCCGATTGTTCAGGTGCAAGGTGGAAGGACTGAGGGTCGCCTCCTGAGTGTGCCCTGCCTGGGGAACTTAGGCAGATGCCACATCCTACAGTGGCGTCAGAGGATGCATTCCATGTAGGTGGCTGGCACAGAACCTCACCACAATCCAAGGCCACAGTGCCAGAGCATGGCCACATCCTGGTCCTCCTTCATATGAGTGTCTGGGCTGGGGTCCCTGTGCCAGCCCTCAGGCTGCAGGGCCTTGCACAGGGAGGGACCTGGCCATGCAGATGCAGGGATGCTGGGGAGGAAGGCCAAGGAAGCCACTGGCAAGTGAAGGGAGAAGAATCTTGGGCCATTTCAAGGAGAGTGGACCACAATGCAAGCTCAGCTGGTCAGAGCTGCCAGGAATACTCACAGGAAGAATCTAGAAGCTGAGAACTGGGGACTAAAAGGAGCCAGTGCTAGGAGACTCGCAGGAGAGAGGGGTGGTGTCCACTTCTGCCTCAGAGGACCCAGGCCTGGGAGCATAGGGAGGCTGAGTGGCCAGGGCAATGGGTCACACTGGACCCAGCCAGGAGAGGCACTGGGTCTAGCCTGCTACCTGCCCTGCCTGGACCCTAGGATTTTCTGGGAGCTCCTGCAGGGGGGCTTCGCAATGGCCCAGAGGCCTGAGGAGGAGCAGAGGTGGGGGTAGCTGGGCCTGAGGGGTATCTTTGGAAAGAAACCTCCGAACCCCACCGCCCCTATTGGCTAGAGCTAATGGAATGCAACCTTCACAGCAGAGAGGCAAGAAGGGGCCTGGCACGGGGAAGAGAGGTGCAGGCAGAGGGAATGGTGTGTCCAGGTGGGGGACAGGCTGAACACCAGGCAGGGCAGGGATGATGGACAGAACCACACACAGCCTCCAGGGCACGAAGGCCAGGAACCAGTCCACAGAACCAGGTCAAGTTGCCTTTGGGGTCACAGGGTGGAGGAAGGCCAGCTCTCCCTCCCATGCCTGCCCTAAGGGGGAGGGCTCAAGGTCATCTGGGCAGGTGCCTGCAAATGCATGCCTCAGCAGTCAGACCTCGGCCTGCAAAGTGGTGCCTAGAGGGCCTGCCAATCCTGCCCTGGGTGAGGGAGGGAAGGAGGGAGGCAGGACTTTTCCATTTCAGTAGGGGCAGGGCGCTGGCCACACAGAGCACATCTGGAACCTCGTCCGTCCCAGGGAGAGTGACATCACAGATGGCATCTCCACCCTGGGCACCCTGGGCACCCTGGGAGGTGAGGCCAATGCCTCTCCCCAGCACAGATGTGGATGGCAGAGCCCTAGCTGGGCCCTTAGGAGGCAGCTAGGGGAGAGCCGTGCAGGAGAGAACCTGGGGGTTCAGTGCAGGGAAGGAGGCTGAATGGGCATCTGACCCTCACTGTGGCTGATCTTGGCCCACGCTCCACTGCCCACATCCGTGTGGCTCCAAGCCCCAGTCCCAGTATCCGGTCCTTCTCCCTGGAATCTTAGTCTACCCTTGCCTGGGGCAGGGTGGGGATGGTGCCAGCTCCCAGGGATCTTGGCATGAACCTTTCTCACTATCACTGGCCCCTAGCAGCTGCCAACCCCTCACACTCTGGCACAGCTGTTAGTTCCATCCCATTTCTGTCTTGGGGGTATGACATGTTTGGAGAGTGGAGCCCAGGCCCCATGGCAGCAAGTGGCCACCCAGTCCGACCTCTGAGATGCTCCTGTCTCACACACCAGCAGGGGCCTGCGGGAACCACCTGCAGCACAGCCTCAGAACTGGGCCACCCAGCCCCCCCCCCAATCTCACCGGACACCTCTCCCTCTCAGGAAGCTGCCCACAACTCCCACCCTACCTACATCCCTCTTCTGGCCACATCTGGGTTGGGCATGGTACCAAAGCCTTCATCGGCAGAAGAGGACTTCAATGACAGGGTAACAAGTTCAGCCTCTGCCTCCCCAGGGGCCAATTTTTCCTTCTAAGCCCATCTCTTTCAGGAAGTCCTCTTTACTGCTTCCCATGCTGGTAACACTGTATCACCTGCCCTCAGTTACATGTTAGCCTCCTTCACTTACCCAGGGAAACCTAGGGAGCCAGAGCCAGGACCACAATCGGATCTCAGGATGGTGGGGTCCCAGAGGTGCTGGGTGGGGATAAATTGGAGGGTGTGTCAAGGATAGAGGAGGGGCTTGTCCCAGCCCGTGTGGGTCAACTTGCTCCAGGCAGGGGTGCTAAGGATGCGGTACAAAGCACAGAGCTTTTGGCAGTCTGTCCTGGTACCCCCACCCCATTTCTCCCCATCCCCCCGCTCAGACTGGCACTGGTTCTCTGGAGACTCCTGCTAAGCTAGTGCTCTGACAATGCAGCCTCATCTGTCTGTGGATCTTGGCTGGGCGGGGAAGTGGGTCAGGGCCAGAAGACAAAGATTCCAGGGTCAGTGCAGGCCAGAACGCCCAGGCTCGGCAGATGAGAGACGGGGCACAATGCCACCGCCGCACCAACCTCATGCCCACACCCTCAGGCTTGCTGCTGACCATGGGAAGGTCACCTCTCCTTGGGGCGTATCTCCTTGTCCCCTCTACCTGCGGCCATTCAAGGATGTGGCAAGCGGGTCGGGGAGAGGGTAAGGAGAGGGAGAACGTGACTCAAGTCTTAGCGGGCCTTGGCCCGACCCTCTCAGCCCTCCTTCCTGTCCCATGCCCCACCCCCCACTCCCAGTGATGTCACTTGGGCCACCTCATCACCGGCTCCTGACCCCTTTCCAGCCGCCCTCTCTGTCCTCCAAACCAGGGGCAGAGATGGTTCCAGATCCAAGCCCACTGTCGCCAGTCCCCAAAGATGCCACTTGCCCCTCTGGCTCCCCGTGAGCCCACAGAGAGGTCAAGGAGCCCCTCAAAAGGCAGCCTGCAGCTTGCACTGCCTGCTTCTCCCCCTGCTCTCGGTGTAAACGGGAAGCGAGTTGGGGAAACTTTCCGGGAGTCCTGGCAGGCACGCGGGCGCCTGGATCTGGAGCGAGGCGACTTTCCGCTCCACACACACCCCACCCTCCCAGGAAGGAGCCACCTCTGGGGCGCCGGTACTCGCCCTGCTCTTGTCCCCCCAGCCATCGCACGGCACCCGGGCGACTGCCGCCCCTGATGCTCGGGAGGGGGATGGACACCCCGTGGCCTCGACGACAGGACGACCTCCCCGTCCACACCACAACAGCAGGTCTCCCGGGCCCCGGGGCGGGTCTGCATGGTCCCAGTCTCTCCTCCTCGGAATCGGGCGTCCAGCCCTCCGCCGAGTGATCCCGCCCAACAATGGAGTGGCAGCCGGCGTCCCCGCGCTCACCCTGCTCCAGGTCCTGCGGGTCATACCAGGGCTCCTCCTCTGCGGGAAAGTCTTCCATCCCCGCGGCTCTCCGCATGGCCTCGCAGAGGTGGTTGCGGGTGGGCGCGCACTGTGGTGGCGCGGCTCAGGGCCGGCGCGCAGGGCCCGGGACAATGCGGCGGAGTCGGCGCGGCCCTCCCGTGTGGCCGACTCGGGCTGCAGCGTCCCGGACCGCGCCACGCCCTCTCGCCATCGGTCGCGAGCCGGGCGTCCCTTGGGGTCGGACCCCCAACCCCCGCACCGGGGGGTCCCGCGGAGCCCGGGCTCTAGGCGACGTCTGCACAAAAGGCTGCAGGGGTGGGGACAGCGGGCGGGCCGAGGGCAGGCGGGGCTGGGCGCCGCCGCCGGGTGCGGGCCGCTAGGGCTGCACGGGGGCCCTTCGGGGCGCACCCCGCCTGGCTCCTGCCCGCGATGCCCGCCGCGCGCCCCGCGACACCCGGAGCCGCCGCTGCATCTTGGCCCGCCCGCGGCTTCCCGAGCTGCTTCCCCAGCTGCCCGCGCCGGGGGGCGGGGCCCGGCGGCGGCGGCCAATCGGGAGGCGCATGCAAAGACGGGGGCGGGCCCGGGGGCGGGGCCTCCCTGGAGCTTGGCCCTGGGAATTGCTGGCTCAAGTCGCAGGTTCTCCTGGCTTCCACGTCCGACTTCAGCAGTGCAATGGACGTCTGGCTGCTTCGAGATTATTCTGTTTCCCTGGAGTTATCGCTCCTTGGAGATCTCCTAGAAGCTAGGACTTTTCCGTTCTTCACAGCGAGGTCCTCAGTACTTGGAACAGGCTGGCCCACTGAGAAGTTCCATTGGCTGTCGGTGAATAAATGCATTTTAAGAAGCTCAGAGTTTTAAAAATTGTTTATATATTTACTTGAAAGACATATTTACAGAGAGGAGAGACCCAGAGAGTGAGAGAGATCTTCCATCCACTGGTTCACTCCTCAAAAACGGCCAGAGTTGGACCAATTTGAAGCCAGGAACCTGGAGCTTCTTCTGGGTCTCCCACATGGGTGCATACAGGGACCCAAGCACTTTAGCTGTCTTCCACTGCTTCCCCTCCCATATACATTAGTAGGAAGCTAGATTAGAAATGGAGCAGCTGGAACTCCAACTACAGCACCACAGGCAGAGGCTTAGCCCATTGTGCCACGATGTCGGCCCCAGTAACTTGTTTTCATTGGGACCCATTCTGTGCTCGCACTGTGGAGGCACTGAGTTATGCTGCTCTGAATGTATGCTGCCAAACATCAGACCAAGAACTTGCATCTAAAAGAACACCTGAAAATCCTTAGGGAAAAAGCAATCAAACCAGTAGAAAAGTAGGTAAAAGACTTGACCAGGGGCTGACACTGCGGTGTGGAGAGCAAATGCCAACCTTCCATGTAGGCACTGGTCGGAGACCTGGCTGCCCCACTCCCCATCCAGCTTCCTGCTAATGAGCCTGCGAGAGCAACAGAGGATGGGCCAGGTCCTTGGGACCCTGCACCCACACGGCAGACCCAGAAGCTCCTGGTTCCCGGCTTCTGATCAGCTCAGCTCCGGCTGCCGTGGCCATTTGGGCAGTGAACCAGAGAATGGAAAATCATCTCTGTCCCTCTATAAAATCTACCTTTCCAGTAAAAAAAATAAATCTGGGCCTGGCATGGTGACGTAGCGGCTAAAGTCCTTGTCTTGAACGTGCTAGAACCCCATATGGGCACCAGTTCTAATCCCAGCAGCCCCACTCCCCATCCAGCTCCCTGCTTGTGGCCTAGAAAAGCAGTTAAGGACGGCCCAAAGCCTTGGGAACCTGAACCCCTGTGGGAGACCTGGAGGAAGTTCCTGGCTCCTGGCTTCGGATTGGTACAGCACTGGCCATTGTGCTCATTTGGGGAGTGAGCCAGGGATGGAAGATCTTCCTCTCTGTCTCTCCTCCTGTCTGCATATCTGACTTGTAAAAAATAAATCTTTTTAAAAATAAATAAATCTTTAAAACAACAACAGCAAAAACGTGGGGGGTGAATGTCAGGGCAGCTACCCTGGGGAAGCCTTGTAGTGCCCCCGTGGCTGTGCGTGGCTGCCGTAGCCTGCACCAGCACACAGCAGGGCTCAGACCCAGCTTAGTATGGGGAACGTGACTGGGAGCCCTGGCAGGGCAGAAGGCAGGATTGGGCAGGGGGAGAAGTGAAGTTGAGCCTAGAGCCTTAACAGAGGTCTCTCCTGACCCCGAAAGAGCTCTGAGTTTGGGGTAACTCTTCAGAGTGACGCCAAGGAGCGGGGGAGAAGGGCCCTTTTATCTCCCTCCTCTCCTTCTGACACTCACTCACCACACAGATGCAGTCAGCTCCTGGGAAGTGTGTGTGTCCTGGGCCAAAGGAATTCTTTTCAGCTAAGCTTAAAACTCGGCGAGGCCTTTCAGCTGAGGACCAGCCCCCCAGCAGCCGTGGGGAGTCCACCTGGTGACGGAGTGGCAGGGGTGCATCACAACATTCATTCCATGTAGTTGACCTCCAGCCGTTCCTCCCATACCCGTGGGTGTGCACACATGGCCACATGTGAACGCCAAAGCAGGTGCTGGAAGGTTCCTGGCAGCCCACACTGGAAGCACAGGAGAAGGAAGGTGTTGAGCAAAAGGTGCTGGACTGAGTGCAGGCTCATCCTGTAGATTTCCTGTTGCTTCTGGCATCAGTCCCCCACCGCCCGTCCGTGGCTTGAAGCAGCACAGGTTTATAGCAGCTCGGATTATAAGGCTAACACAGACTCTGCTGGCTAAGACCTAGGCAAGAGCTGCATCCTTCCGGAGACCCCAGTCAGAGAATGCTTCCTGGACTTGTCTGCCCGCACTGCCTCACCTGTACTCCCACCCGCTGAATCAGAAGTGGAGCTGGGGCACACGTGGGATGCTGACACCCCGGGCGGCTGCCTTATGCACGACGCCAGCCCGTCATGTGTCGTTATCTCAGACATTTTCCCAAGAACTCTGCCAAGTTCCTACATACTAAAACTGAAAGAACAGAGAGAGGATTATCACGGCCCCTATGCAAGGAGGACACACAAGAACTCCACATTAAAAAGAAAAAAAGTATTTGAGGGCCCAGTGTGATAGCATAGTGGCTAAAGTCCTCACCTTGAACGCGCTAGAATTCCACATGGGCGTCAGTTCTAATCCTGGCAGCCTCGCTTCCCATCCAGTTTCCTGCTTGTGGCCTGGGAAAGCAGTCAAGGACAGTTGGCCCAAATGCACCCACATGGGAGACCCAGAAGAAGCTCCTGGCTCCTGGATTCAGATCGGCTCAGCTCTGGTCATTGTGGACACTTCGGGAGTGAATCATCGGACAGAAGATCTTTGTATCTCCTTCTCTTTGTATACCTGCCTCTCTAACAAAAATAAATACATCTTAAAAATGAAAAAAATAATAATTTGGGGGTGGTGCAGTGGCTCAACATTCCATATGGGTGCCAGTTTGTGTTCTGGCTGCTCCGCTTCCACTCCAGCTTCCTGCTTGTGGCCTGGGAGAGCAGTGGGGGATAATGCAAGTCCTCGGGCCCCTGCTTCTGTATGGGAGAACTGGAAGAAGCTCCTGGCTCCTAGCTTCAGATTGGTTTAGCTCCGGCCATATCGGCTATTTGGAGAGTGAACCAGTGGATGGAAGACCTCTCTCTGTGTCTCTCCTCTTTGTAACTCTGTGATTCTAATAAATGTTCAATTTTTTAAAAAATTTGAATCATTTGAAAATCAGAGAGATATCTTCCATTGCAGATTCACTGCCCAGGTGCCACCAAGCCAGGGTTGGGCCAAGCCAAAGCTAGCAACCCAGAACTACATGAGTCTCCCACACAGGTGGCAGGGACCCAAATGTTTGAGCTGCCTGTCAGGATACACAGCAACAGGAAAGCCGAGGTGGGACTCAAACCCAGGCACCAGATGCTGTGTCCCAAGGGGCAACTCAAACCGCTGCACCAAATGCCGGTCCCCGATGAGTGGTTTAGAGTCGGTACTCAGGACAGCCCTCCCAGAAGGCAGCAGCTAAGCTGACCCAAATGATGAAATGATGTTGACCAATCCCTCCACCCAGCTCTGCTCACTTTTTTCCTGTAGCCACCCTTCCCATGCATCAGCTACCTTAGCATTGCCTGGCAGGGCCAACCAGTGGGCACAGGAGAAGCTATAACCTCCGAAACAGGGTGGGAGGACGTTGGAGCCTCAATCCTGGGCCCTTGCGTCGGACAGGGCCATGCCAGCTGCAAGCGGCCCAGGAAGGTGGGGGTGGTGGGGCTGCAGCTGACCACAGAGCCTGCTAGGGTTGGGGTACTACCTCGTCCCACTGCGCAGGGCAGAGATGAGCTGGAGCCGCGGGTTAGCTGGGAGGGGCGCCTGCTGCACCACAGGCCATCCCGGCTGCCTGCCTGATTGGGGTCGGGAACCTGAGTATGCTGTGGAGGTAAGGCCTCTCTCCCTGTGCCTTCTGCAAAACTTGGCGGGGGAGGAATGTCAGAGCTGCTTTGCAAGAAGGAACTTTCTCACTCTCCCGCCCTGGGACCGTTTCATTCACTGCCCAGGGAGGACAAGTGTAAGCCAACCATTTCTGAGCCAGGAAACCTGTTTTGGGGTGTCCTTGTCCGAGGCATCAAAACGTGGTGCCACCTGGGCCATGGTGGATCGCCTTGCTGGAGCCACGCGGTGAGGACCCCGTGCTGCCGCCAAGGCGGGACGGATCCGCAGCCCGCGGACATCACTGTCCACTCGGGTCTGGATCCTCCACCTCCGCACCCAGCCCGAGGCCGGCCGGAAATGACGGCAAGCGGGGGCGGGCGCTGACGTGAGGGTCCTGGCGGGGCAGGGTGGAGTGAGGTGAGGGGAGGTGGGCGGACCTCACTAACTGAACCTCTCAGATAGGGGTCGATGAGGTCCCCACATGCTCGCAGGCGGTGCCTCCCTCCCTGTCCGCTGACAGGGGGCGGGGTGCAGGGTGGGAGATGGCCAGAGCTGGGCACTGGCAGCCTCGCCTCCTGCATCCCCTCCGTTAAGGCGGCCTGCAGGCGCTCCCTGCATTTGAATGAGTCTGGCGT